TAGGGGTTTGGAATCAGTGTTGTATACGGATTACAGTCAATGCTGTAAAGACTGTATGTAAAGGCTAGAACTTTATATGCACCTAACAAAAACTAAAGTGATCCAGTGCGTGGTTGGAAATCAGACTATGCGAACAGTCCAGCTCTTTTAAAGACCTTCTCATGGTTCCACTAGCCTTCCTAGAAAAAGGACACTTTGGCTGGACCATAAGGTGGTCCAGTAAAATGAAGTAATTCATAATACTTTGGGATGGTGAGGGGAAGAGGAAGCATATTCCAGGGAAGGCTAAGCAGGGAAGATTTTAGGAATTCTAGGATTCTAAATTCTGGGAACTGAAAGCTGGCCGCTTGATCTGAAACAGAGTATATCAATAAGAAGAATGATGTGAGAAAGGCATTGTAAGGGGCATTAAATGCCAAATTGAAGAGCTTATATTTTATCTTAGGGAGAGTAAGAATATACTGAATATTCTTGAGCTGAGTAGTGATATTGTCAGACCTGCACTAAAGCACAAAAGATTGTTTAGTCTGTGTTTGAGAATATTAGAGAAAACAGTGAATGGAAGCAAGGAAACCAAGAAGCCATCAAAGTAATCTAGTCATGACGTAATGAATGCTTGGACTACAGTAGTAGCTGTGTTGGTGGAGATAAGAGGGAAGTTGAGAGAAATGTTATGACATAGGAATGTAAAGGACATGGCCACTAATTGGGTATGAGAGATAAGGGAGAATGAAGAATTGAAAATATCTCCTAGGTTGTAAAACTGAATGACTAGAAAGTTGATGAGATCACCAAATGAAAGGCTATAGAGTAAAGGAGAAGCTAGGATAGACCTTTGGGGACATTCACTGTTAGTGGGCATGACTTTGATGGAGATCCATTAAAGGAGGCTAAAGGAATGGTCAGACAAATAGGAGGAGAACCAGAAGAGAACAGTGTCCTGAAAACCTAGGGAAGAGAGAAAGGTGGTCAGTAATGTTAAATGCTGCAGAAAGGTCAGGAAGGATGGGGGTGGAGAAAAGGCCATTATGTTTGTCAATTAAGGGGTCACTGGTAACTCTGGAGAGAGCAGTTTTAGTTGTTTCATGAGGTCTGAAGTCAAGACTGCAAAAGACATAGGAGAGAGTGAGTAGAAAAGCAGAGGCACTGATTGTAGATGGCTTTTTCAAGGACTTTAGCCACTAAAGGGAGGAAAGATAGAGGATGATAGCTGATGAGAATAGTCACATCAAGTGAGGGTTTTTTAAGTAAGGGGACGACATAGACATATTTTTAGGCAGAAGGAAAGCAGCACATAGATAAGGAGAGATTGAAAACATAATTAAAATCAGACACTTTTCTTGATCTGTTTATGTAAATATATGGCATTTTCCAGAGTGGCTAAACTTCTTTATCATGGGTAAGACCCTGGCCTTGAAAACTCCTTGATAAATATTATTCTAATCATATCAGATTGGTTATATTTAGGGGGTGGGATAAGAAATGTTGATGTTAACATATACAAACACAAATTACAGTTTCAGCCTCAATCTATATAAAACATATCAAATCTCTAATAGCTATAGGATCTAAAGAAAGCCTAGAGATATCAAGCAGTTATTAGAGACACGTTGAGTTAGTAAAGAAAGCTACTTTCCTGTGAAATGTAATCAAACAGAAAATACATAAGTTGAACTTTGAAAAATGTTTCCAGGTCTGCTAACTAATGGAACATAAGAATATCACTTTATTCATATGTGCTTCTTTTTTTATTTAAAAAATGCAGATTGCATTTTCACACGTCAAAGTGATAGAACATTCTTCTGTCAATATTCCCAGATTGGAGATCTAGAAGGAATCTTAGAGGCATCTTGTCCAACCCATTTATTTCGAAGCTGAGGAAACAAATCCAAGGACATGCAGATAGTCAACATCAGAGGTGTAATTTGAATCTAGGTCCTTTGATCAGAGACAGTATTCTTTCCAATGAACATATTACCCCCACTACAATGCTTGTGATGTAGGCCTTTCAAGAAGTACCTCAAATCCAACCTGGTAGCAGTATACCCTTTCTATAACACTTTTTGTTGTAGTAATCCACTTTTCTCTTGAATTCACTCAGCGAAGCTTAGTTACAGATCTCTTGAAAAAAAATTCATCGTGAGGTAATGTCACCTATAAATTATTTCTCTAAAAAGAGCCCAAACCCAGAGAAACTTCAGTATGGTTTCTTTTTTGTAAAACATTTCATAAGTTATACATTAGCCATGAATGTGGTTTTGCTTTTGGAAGAGACTTGGTTGAATTTCTGTTTAGTGATCACCTAACTTAAGGTCAAATACTCATTTTATCCTTAAGTTTTATCATGCCTCCCTGGCTGGGCAAATCTCCCTAAGGCTCCACTTTCTCCAAGGGAAAAGGAACTGAGTAATACTGTGGTGAGAAAATTTAAACTCCTCCCATCATGTTCTTCTGTTCAGTGAGATCAGCAGCAGCTGTACTGGCAAGAAAAGGGTGACTTTTTTTTTTTGCGATACTAAATAAGCTGATCTCTCCTAGATCTCTATATAATGAAAAATTTTAAATGACCTTTGCAAATTTATTTGCCCTCCCCGCCCATCTCCCAAAAAAGGGAGCAAAGCATGCTAGGAATGCATGTAATTTTATAGACCATTTACAAACATTAACTTACTTGTTGATACTGAAGATATTTTGAGCTTTATCCATTGTCCAATAAATTGATATGTTTTGGCCCTTTAAAGTATAGATTCCCTGTGGAAGATCTGTGAAAAAAATATGGACAAGATTTACAGAAGATGAAAAGGCATGGATAGGTTATGAAGTGTACTGAAATATTAAAGTACAACTAAGGAGAGATTTTTCAAAAATAACTGAGAAAGTTAAAAAGATAGAGGAAAGACAAAGGGAATTAAGACAGGAGAAATGGCTCGCTAAATAAAGAATTGATGAATCACTTCCTCGTGAGACAGAAAATTGTCTTGGAGGAACAATGGTATATGCAAAACCTAGGTAGAAAAAGGAAAAAAATCAGTAAGGAAGAAACAGAATTATTCCTGAAGTTCAGCTGAGGCATTTACAAAATTAAGCAGGTCTTATATATGTAGTACCCCAGTTATATTCAAGGTAAAAGCTAGTTTCATGTGTGGTTCTAATTACTAGTGGATTCTCTAGACTTCCATGAACAGGCTGAGTCAAGTAGAATTTCTAATGGAGGACAGTCCAAAAAAGAGTCAAAATGAGTCTCTCTACAAGAGCCTCCTTGATTAATTAGCTTTAATGTCTCCTGACTTTGTTACTATATTCGTTCTTTCAGCAGCTGTTTATTAGTGTCTGTTCTATATGAAAACTCTTCACCTGAGGTTAACTAAAAATGTCATTATATTAAAAAGGGGAACCGGAAAATGATGGAGTCTTTCCTCATGGCTCATATGTTATGCAGAAGTATTGACATCATTGTATTTCTTTTAATTACAGATCTCTCATGAATTACTTATTTTTTCCCCCAATTACATGTCAAGACAATTTTTAGCATTCATTTTTAGAAGATTTTGAGTTACAAATTTTTCTCCCTTCTTTCTTCTCCCCTCTTCCTAAGAGATGGTAGGCAATTTGATATAGATTATACATGTGCTGTCATGTAAAACATATTTCCATATTAGTCACAGTTGTGAAAGAAGAAAGAGATGAAAAGAAAAAAACATGAAAAAGAATAAAGTAAAAAAAGCATGCTTTGAGATCTGCCTTCAGAGTCAATCAGTTCTTTATTTGGATGTGGATAGCATTTTCCTTCATGAGTCCTTTGTACTTGTCTTGGATCATTGTGTTACTGAGAAGAGCTGAGCCATTTATAACTGATCATCACACAATGTTGCAGATACTGTGTACAATGTTTTCCTGATTCTGTTCATTTCACTTTGCATCATTTCATTCAAGTTTTTCCAGGTTTTTCTGAAATCTGCCTGTTCATCATTTCTTATTGCACAATTGTATTCCATTACATTCATATACCACAACTTGTTCAGCCATTCTCCAATTGAAGGACATGCCCTCAGTTTCCAATGTTTTGCCACTACAAAAAGGGCTGCTATAAATATTTTTGCAGATGAAGGTCTTTTCCTTTTTTTATGAGCTCTTTGGGATACAGACTTATTAGTGGTATTGTTAGATCAAAGGATATGCAGAGTTTGGTTGCCCTTTGGGCATAGTTTCAAATTGCTCTCTAGAATGGCTGGATCAGTTCACAACTCCACCAACAGTGCATTAGTGTCCCAGTTTTCCCACATCCTCTCCAACATTTATCATTTTCCATTTTTGTCATATTAGCCAATCTGATAGGAGTGAGGTGGTATTTCAGAGTTGTTTTAATTTGCATGTCTCTAACCAAAAGTGATTTAGAGCACTTCTTCACATGCCTGTAGATATCTTTGCTTTCTTCATCTGCAAACTGCTTCTTCCTTTCCTTTGACCATTTATCATTTGGAGAATGACTTGATTCTTCTTAATTTGACTCAGTTCTCTATATATTTGAGAAATGAGATCTTTATCAGAGACACTTGCTGTAAAGATTGTTTCCCAGCTTCCTGCTTTCCTTTTAATGTTGATTGCATTGATTTTGTATGTACAAAAGCTTTTAAGTTTAATATAATCAAAATTATCTATTTTACATTTTATAATGCTCTCTATCTCATTTGATCATAGTTTCTTCCCTTCTCCATATATCTGACAGGTAGACTATTTCTTGCTCCTCTGATTTGCTTATGGTGTCACTGTTTATGTCTAAATCACGAACACATTTAGACCTTATCTTGGTATATGGTGTGAAATGTTGGTCTATACCTAGTTTGTGCCCTATTGTTTTCCAGTTTTCCCAGCAGTTTTTGTTAAATAGAAAGTTCTTATCCCAAAGTCAGGGGTCTTTGGATTTATGTACTTTTTATTTTAAATCTTTTTATGATAACAAAAGTCAAATTGTGTTAATTTCATAAATTTATATTTTTCAGATTATTGCTCAGTTGTAAGTATTATGGACCAGTCCAATGCCAAGTTAACCTGTATGCTTTTTAGTGTAAATCTTGATACACTTCCAGTAATCTACAAAATTGGAGACATTGTTCGTTTTCATAGACTGAAGGTACAATTTTTACTTCTTGATGCAAATAATTATTACAGATACTCATCTATTGTTTGCCAAACCCAGTAAATGCTAATTATATGCTTCTTTGTGTACTGAAAACTGGAATGAATAATGTAGAAGAAAGATTAAAAAAATAGAATCAGTCAACAAGTATTGCTACAGTGTGCTACAGACTGTGCTAGATGCTGAGGATACATGTTGCCTGTTGTAAATTCAAACTGGATGTCCCCAGCATATCTACAACATGCCAACATGTCTAAAACTAAATTCATTATTTTCCTCCTCTGAAATTCATTTAACTGATCATAATTTTTTGAAATTCCACTTTTCCTTTAGTCTTAAAACCCCTAACTCTTAGAATAGTTTTTTTTTAAGCAGATAAGGAATTAGGGAGGAATTAATGGATTTTCTTGTCACAGTGATAATCTAATTGAGGTTGGATAGCATGAACTTTTAACTACCCATGCAGCATGATTATGAGACATCCTCCAGTTTCATTCAGCTCACGAGTGGGAGCAGAGGGGGCAGATGGTGGGGTTAATCTAGAGCTAAGGTTTAGCAAGAGACAAACAGTGATATGGCAAAGGGATAAGTGATTCAAGAGCAGAGGAGGGTATAGAGTTGAAACCTAACTATTAGGTGGAGATTGGAGATAGTGGAAAGTGAAGTCAGAACAAGATTAATCATCTGAGAAGGTATTGAAGGCTGGAGAGATCCGAGGTTTCAGTGAAGATAAAGAGTAAGTATAGTAGGGGTGAAACATAGGTAGAGGTAGAATTATAAGAAAGGGTCAGATAGTGGAACATTTGTGGATAACGGTGACTTAGTATGTAACTGTCCCCCTACGTGCCTAAGGTAAGAGCAAAAGAAGACATCATAACATTTGAGGAGGTTGAGGAAATGGGAGTTTAGGAAGTTTAAGAAAACATCTATTTGAATATTAAAGTGTCCTTGTACTTTAAGTGCATCTCTCAACTCCTGCCCTATTAAGAACAGTAGTTGAGAAGAAGATGCTAAATCAGATGCTAAACTCCTTGAAAAAGGTGGGAGAATGACCTCAGGTTTACTACAGGTACTTATAATTTTGTTTAGGTGGAAAATTTTCATGCTTTCAAGGAATTCACAACATAATAATTAATCTCTTTCATAAACATTTCTTCCAAGTCTGTTCAACAGTTTAAAAAATATAAAAGATAAAAATAATTTTAAGTAAAACTGGAACATGAATGTGTACTACAACTACACAGTGCTCTTTGAGGTCATTCTGATTGAGTTATTCACTGAGGTGTTAACATTTGATTTGGGACTTGAAGGATGAGTTTCAGATAAAGTTACCTTTATCTCACCAGAGATAAAGGTAAAAGGCATTCCAGGAAATGGTGTAAACAAAGGCTCAGAACTGAGAGGTAAGAGATATTTCTGGAGTACAATTATTAGCAAGTAGTCTAGTTGTACAATATGTAAGTCCCTTTAGAACGTGAAATAAGGCATGTAGGCGAGTGATTAAAGGTAAGACTGAAAATGCAGGTTCACAATAGATTGCAAGAGCCTTTGAAAGCCCTGGCTAAGGAGTATATTCTATAATTGTGTAAACAATAGAGAGCTCTTGGGAGAGTTTTGAGCAGAGGATTTAATACTTTTATCTTTGCATGAAAGATATTGTTTTGGATTGTAGAGAATAGGAATTGTAGACAGTAAGACCAGGTAAGAAGGTACTATAATATTCTTAGCACATAGTAATGAGGGTCTGTACTAAAGGACCTATTGGTGGGAGTAGAAATAGTTAAATAACCATTTATTTAAAAATAAAGGACAATCATAAGATTTGCAGCTAAAATGATTTTAGGTATCTTCTAGTCCATCCTCATTTTACTAACTAAAAAATAAGCCTAGAAAAACTGTTATTTTCTTAAGCTAAGTAGCAAAAGATAAAAGTACTGTCTCCAAAGTTACTAATGATCTCTTAATTGCCAAATCCAGTGACCTTTTTTTAAGCTTTCATCCTTCTTGACATCTCTGCAGTATTTGATACACTGCTGTCCACTCTCATGCTGAGTTAATCTCTTCCCTCTGGTTTTTTATTCCACTCTCTTTTCTTTCTTCTGCCTTGCTGATATCGTCTTCCCAGGTTCCTTTGCTATATCATTGGTTATTTTGTAGCTCTTATTATGTCTACCCCATGAAGCTCTGTTCTTGAGTCTTCTCCATTGTCCATACTTATTTTAATTCTCTCTCAGTGAATTCATTACTTCCTATTCTAGCAAAGTTCCAGATGGGTCCCTGTTAATTTAGGTCCAGTGTTGTAAATGATACACTTATATGTCTCATGCAACATTCTACAAACTAGTGAAGAAAACAGGTACTGAATGATCAGGAAGGTAGCTATAGGAGAGTGTAGTGTCCTAGAATCCTCACAAAAAGAGGATAAATATATAGGGAAAGACTTTTCTGTAATTTCAGAATCCACAAGAACTCAAGGTGGCCGAGGACTGAGAAAAAGGCAAACTAAGTAATGAATTCCCTTGTGGCAAATTCTCTGGTAAATGACATTTCATTGTCCCATCCCCAAAGCTTTTCTAGTTCTTATCTAACCTTTGCTTTTTGAATAGATTAGAATCACCTTAGTTTTTAAGCTACTTGGAAAAATATCAGCACATAAATTATTAGATTGTAACAACACTAAAATAATTAACATTGACATTGTCCTTTAAATCAGTTGGTCAGCTGGTCAACTGACAATATCCTCATTTAATAATGAAAAAAAAATAGGTTAGGAAGGGTAAAGTAGTTAACCAAGACTATAAGCAGAGCCAGATGTAGAACCAAATTCCGTTTGGTCCAGTTACTCTTTAAAGCAACATCCTCCAAACTTGGCCACATAAAGTTTTCTATTTGTCTTGGACGTTCCTTCTCTTTACTTTTTTTCTTGTTTATTTATTATGGTTTCGTAGGGTGTGGTTGTGTGATGCACAGTGTTACTCTGGTGAATTCAATAACAACCATCCTAATAGCCACTTTTCTCTTCTATTGCCTCATCTCAGTTTTTCTTTTTGTTTAAAGGCAGTTTAGGAGATATGCTCTGGAATATGCTCAGTAATTAGCAAAATTACTGAAACTCTTTTTGTAATTGGCTTGTCCCTCACCTTGGTCTAAACAGAGGAAATATTGTCTCCCATGGTCTAGCCTTATTCTCTCAGTCTCAAATTGTGCACTTATAGACATAAGCAAAATCGCCACTAATGCCTGTTATAATTCATTAGCTATATCAAGTAGTGTAGAAATGCACATGGACGTTCAAACAAGGTATAGAAAGATATAAAGCTCACTCCTTTCTCTCCTATATTCTTCTCTCAGTGGTCTTAGAGAATTGGGGAAAAGGAGAATACTGAAGAAAAAGATTAAAAATTTAACTCCAGATAGAAATTTTTCCTAGGGCTGTAGCCAGATGGCTCAGGAATTAGAGCTGTAGACCTGGAGTTAAGAAAACCTGAGTTCAAATCAGACCTCAGACACTTACCAGCTGTGTGACAAGTCACTTAACCTTTGTTTGTCTTAATCCACTGGAGAAGGAAATGGCAAACCACTGAGAGAAGTGATTATTTTCTGTTATATTAACAGGTTATATTATATGTTATATGTTATATTAACAGGATTAAGGCTTTTTCTCTTTATTTCTTCATTCAGGGACTAGCCCCTGTAGTCCATTCAGTAAGTCTCTGAAGGGCATGGCTAATAGATAAGATTGTCCAAATCCTCTGTGAACTTGCTCCTCTATCTTGGATGGGAACCACCCAAATAGGAGACCTTACTTCTGTTTATGGTATAAACAGAATCTAACCTAGGTGAATTTCAACCCCAAAGCATCAAGGCCTTGTCATTATACCCCTCTATGGGAATTTAGGGTAACCCAGCTCATAAAGGATAAAACCAACCAGATTGGTTTGGGTAAATAGGGATTCCTTTGTCCAGATTGCTAAAGGCGGCTGATTCTCATGATCAAGTCATGTTCTCAGCAGGAAAAGCTGATGACTTTTATTTTTTAAAATATTATTAATTAATTAATTTTTAGTTTTCAACATTTACTTCCATAAACTTTCGAGTTTTAAATTTTCTCGCTCTCCCTCCTCACCTACCTCCCCAAGACGGCATGCAATCTGATGTAGACTCTACATATACATTACTATTAAACATATTTTCACATTAGTCATGTTGTAAAGAAGAATTAGACCCAATAGGAGGAACCACATGAAAGAAGAAACAAAACACAACAGAAGAAAAAAAATAGCAAATAGTATGCTTCGATCTGCATTCAAACTCCATAGTTCTTCTCTGGATGTGGATAGCATTTTCCATCATGAGACTTTTGGAGATGTCTTAGATCCTTGCATTGCTGAGTAGAGCTAAGTCTAACAGTTAGTCATCGCACAACGTGGCTGTTACCGTGTATAACGTTCTCCTGGTTCTGCTTACTTCATTCAGCATCAGTCCATCCAGGTCTGTCTAGGTTTTTCTGAAGTCTGCCTGCTTATCGTTTCTTCTAACACAATAGTATTCCATTATAGTCATATACCACATCTTGTTCAGCTATTCCCTAATTGATGAGCATCCCCTCAATTTCCAGTTCTTTGCCACCATTAAAAGAAATGCTATAAGTATTTTTGGTACATGTGAGTCCTTTTTCCGTTTTTGTGATCTCTTTGGGATACAGACCTAGAAGTGGTATTGCTGAGTCAAAGGGTATGCACATTTTTATAGCCCTTTGGGCATAGTTTCAAATTGTTTTCCAGAATGGTTGAGTCAGTTCACAAATCCACCAAAAATGCATTAGTGTTCCAATTTTCCCACATCTTCTCCAGCATTTATCATTTTACTGTTTTGTCATGTTAACCAAACTGTTAGGTATAATGTGGTACCTCAGTCGTTTTGATTTGCATTTCTTTAATTAGTAGTGATTTAGAACATTTTTTCATATGACTATAGATAGCTTTAATTTCTTCATCTGAAAACTGCCAGTTCATATCCTTTGACCATTTATCAATTGGGGAATGACTTGTATTCTTATAAATTTGACTTAGTTCTCTATATATTTTAGAAATGAGGCCCTTATCAGAGACACTGGTTGTAAAAATTCTTTCCTAGTTTTCTGCTGAGCTGATGACTTTTAGCCCACCTCCTAATTAATATGCCCACTCTCTCATTAATTGTTCACTAATTAGGGTTGATTTCTTCTGTTGGGGCATTCCCTTTCAAAAAAAAAATTCTAGGCATTCAGTGTCTCCATTAGGTTTCTTTGGCTACTGAGAGAAATCACTGACCATCAATTTGTTGATTATCGGCTAGCCTAATTAATAAATTGATTACCAATTACCTGGAAACTCTGGTTCTTGGATTTTTCATTTGTCTCACCACTGTAATATCTTTGCCAAGAAAACCTCATGGAATATAGAGTCGGACAGGACTGAACAATTAAACAACAAGAAATTTTTCTAGCACTGTTCTCAGGGAAAGCAGAGGGAAGAAAAGAACCATTGCCTACACTTGGCTGTCATCAATTGCCACAATTTCTGGCTTTAAGTTATTTTCATCACCAGTGTGTCTTCTCTTGTCCCTCTCAGGTAAACACCATTATCTGTCTCACTGTTGCTTTTCTGTACCCCCTTATGAGGTCCCCCAAAACTTGGGTAAAGTTTCTTTATCAAGGTCTTTGGAACTCCAAAACAAACTGAGCCTTCCAAAATACCTTCTAATAGTGCCCAGGCATTCTTCTCTATCATCCTGGTAAGACACTTGAAAGTCTGTGATCCTGTTGTAATTCCCTTCAGAATTTATAGTGCATGCTTTTCATTGATAGCAAATTATCCTTATTGGGGGTAGGGAGTGGACTTGATTTTTCAAAATAGCCAATGAACAAGTTGTGATATATGATTATGATACTGTTGTGTTATAAGAATTGACAATCAAAATGGTTTCAGAAAAAAACCTGAGAAATCTCGTATGAACTGATACAAAATGAAGTGAGGAGAACCAGGAGACCATTGTACACAGTAATAGCTATATTGGAATGATGGTTAACTGTGAAAGACTTAGGTACTCTGATCAAGACAGTGATCCAAGACAGTTCTGAAGATCTCATGATGAAAAATGCTGTCCACCTCCAGAAAGGGAACAAATGATGAGTGTATATTGAAACCAATTTTTTCACTTTCTTGATGTGTATGTGTGTGTGCATGTATGTGTTCTTTTGTAACACGGCTAATATGGAAATATATTTTGCATGACTTCACGTATATAATCTGTATCATATTTCTTGCCTTCTAAAGGAGTAGGGAAAATGTGAGGGAGGAAGAAAATTTGGAAGTCAGTTTTTAAAAGTGAATGTTAATTTTTTTAAAAATTTAATTGGGAAATATCATTGAAAAAACACGCGCGCACACACACACACACACACACACAATCATACATGTATATAAATAAAAATAGCCAAAAGTAATTCAAAGCCATACCTAGTGGGTGGTCAAGGGGGGGAATTCCATTATTTGTGCCAAAGCATATGGTTATGAAAGAGTGAAGTTGGCTTCCTTGGGTAAGATATAATCTGATAATAAAGGCAGTTTCATATTAAGGAACTCTTAAAGTAAGTTGAGTAATGGTGTTATGGCATCAATATATAAGAATGATAGCCTTGAAGAATATTTCACTTTGCATGTTTAAGAAGATGCCAGGAGAGTAGAAAGGTAAAAATTGGGTCAAAGATATCCAAAGTCAGGTTAGCAGTGAGAGAAAAGAAGAGGCATGAAGTGACTATCAATTGTATTTCTCCAGCACACTGTTACTAAGCACTGTTGTGTTCAGGTCACAGTATCAGGCATTGAGGATACACAGACAAAACTTAAAGTAGTCCCTGTCATCAGAGAGCTTACCTTCTAGTGGGAGGGATGCAAAATATAAGATACACACACACACACACACACACACACGATATTTTGAAAAAGAGGAGAGAGCATTCACTCTTTCTCTGATATGAAGAATCATATTTCATAGATCTTTTTCAGGACTCTGCAGCAAAAGTTGCCACCGGTATCATTGCATTGTCTTAATTATGATATGCTTAATTTCATACTCCAAGGATCTGTGATTTTATTGGTATGGATTTTGCCTCCACAAAAACAAATCATGAGCTTTCTTTGCCCTAGTACACTGTCTCAGTGAATTGCTATTACTGAAAAAAAAAATTCCTTGGTGACAAGCCTTCTGGTGATGAATCCCTCAGAAATTGTTTGGGCTGGTCCTTTGACCACAAATGCTTATGGGCTAAATATTCTGTACCTTCAGTCCCTTACCTGTCTGTAAAGAGTGCAGGGGGGTATAATTCATCATCTATCTTTCCTGGACCATTGATTATTCATTCCAGTTAATCTGAGATAAGTGGGTCTTTATTGGGTTTTTTTGTTTGTTTATGTTGTAATTATTGTGTATGTTGTACCTGTTTCTTCTTACATTGTTCTTTATCTGTTCACAAGTTATCTTAATTATTTCTTTCTCTGAATTTTTCATATTTGTCATGTTCTTGTGGTTAAATAAAATCATATGCCACAATTCATTCAACCATCTCCTAATCAGTGAGTACCAACTTTGTTCTTTTAACCTTGAAATAGGGAAATTTTTTTTATTATTAATGAGCATTTTTTTCTCTCACCAATCTCCCACCTCAGTTGAAGAAAGAAAAGAAAAACAATACTTGTATAACAAATATATATCATCAAGTAAGACACATTCCCATATGTCTCATCTGTATCATGTGTCCATCACCTCTCTGTCAAGAGGAGAGTAGCATATTTCATCATTGATTCTATGGAATTGTTTTTAGTCATTTCATTGATCACAATTCTTAAATTTTAAACATTTCTTTGTCTTTACAGTGTTGTTATTATGTAAGTGGTTCTCCTGGATTTACTTGCTTCTCAATGTATCCATTCATACAAATCTTTCCAGGCTTTGAAACTGTTATCAGCATTTTTTTTTTACAACAGAATGGTATTTTATTATGTTCGTGTACTAGAGATTGTTTAGTCATTAACTAACTGTTGTTTCCCTTTGATCCCTTAGTTTCCAGTTCTGTGCCAGTACAAAAAGAGCTACTTTGCATATTTTTGTTCATAAGAGTCCTTTTATTCTTTCTTTGGTTTCATTGGGTTTATACCTAGTATGGGCATCATTGGGCCAATGGTTATACAGAATTTAGAGTTTCGTTTTTGTTTTTCCAGGGTTGGAGAGGCATAGTTCCAAATTTCTTCCCGGAATAGCTATATCAGTCTAATAGTTTTATCAGCAGTGCATTAATATGCCTATTTTCCCAAAACCCCTCTAATATTTGTCATTTTCCTTCTTTATTATCCTTGTCACTCTGATGAGTATGAGGTGGAACCTTAGAGTTGCTTTACTTTATGTTTCCCTTGTTATTTTTTATTTGAAGCATTTTTTTCATGTAGCAGTTGGTAGTTTGGATATCCTCCTTTGAATACTGAAATTAAATCTTTTCATTGTCAAATACTACAGGAAATTTTAAAGGATTTTTAGAAGAGTGTAACAATTAAACTTGGGATTCGTCTACCAATTTGCCTTGGTAATTTAGGGCTCAATACATACTTTGTGTGCCAGATTTACCTTCTGTTTCTGAGAAATACCAAAGTGGTTATCATTGTCTGTCTAAATTATATGGTGATCATGTGTATAATACTAGCCCCCATTACCCTAGTAGGAGCCCTATGAGTTTACCAAAACCACTCAGAATGGATACCTATCTCATTTATTGGTGCTAAGAAACTAAAAGAAAATTAAATATTTCAGGGAGGCACTTATTAGGGTAAACATACTAAAAATTCTTGGTAGTCAAAACTGGACAAGGATTATAGAAAATTGGGAACTGGAGCATAATATGTTGTGTGGAAAACTAACTACCAGCTAGAAGTAGGAAAGATTTACAACTTGGGCTATTATATTTGAACACTAAAAGTGAAAGGACTCATGTTAGAGGGGGAGGGGAACTTCTGTGTAGGGATGTAGTTATTCTAAGCATTATCATGAAAGATACATTGTAATGAAGGACTGCTGGATTTGTCCTTAGAAGTGATGTGGCATCAAATCTCACTTCTAACTAGCTCTGTTATTATGTTCAAGGCAATTTTTTTGAGTCTCAGTTTCCTTGTCTTAAAAGTGGGTAATAAAACCTATATTACCTACCTCATAGGGCTGTTGTATAGATCAGATGAAATTATGTGTGTGTGTGTATGTGTGTGTGTGTGTGTGTGTGTGTGTGTGTGTGTGTGTGTCTTTTTGTTAACTGTATCCCCAGCACTTAGCTCAGTGCTTGGCACATAGAGTTGCTTAAATGTTTATTGGATTGGTGCTTTCAAAACCTTAAAGCACTGTATAAACATAAGATGTTTTGTTTTATGCATAATCTTTCACTTGTTTAAACCATCTGAAGAAGCTTATCTCTAAAATCCTTTCTACATATATGATTCTCTGTCCAACTAAGCTGTTTTTCCCTTCTCCTTTCAGATACAGCAATATAAAAATGAAATTCAAGGTGTTACTACTGTTGGATTTTCATCTCTTACATTTGAGGGAACTTTGGGAACTCCAGTAATTCCTCGTACTTCAAGCAAAATATATACCTTCACCACAGATGACCAGAAAGCAGTAGAAGCATTGCGTATTTGGGCAGCTAATCATATTTCCTCCTCTGGGGCATTAGTAAAATTGTCTGATATAAAGGCAGTGCAGTATTTTGACTTGACTTGTGAACTTGTAGGGAAAGCAGAAGTAGATGGATCTTCAGTTCTTCTAAAGGTAGGTATCAAAAAGTTATAAATAGTTAAGGTTATATTAGTTTAGGATAGGTTCCTAATTTTTCAGAGCTCATTTTGTTTCTGGTGAAATATACTTGCTTATTGTTTTTATCACATTTTGATATTAAGTAGTTATGGGAACTTTAAAAAAAATCAAACTTTTAATTCAGATAAATCCATGTAGAATGGATGTTAAGCCCTAGCCATTGTAGTATTAGTCTAGCACTTCTGTGTAAGTGAAAATGCTATTATTACTTGAATTAATATAAATATGTTGATGGATTTAAAGTAGATTTTCTAAGAATACTATGTCCTCAAGCATCTTTTTTTTTCTTTTGGTGATAAAACATTCATAATGATACTCATAGGGAGAAGACCTGTGATTTCACTGATTTAGGGAACTACCAGATGAGGAAAATTTTTAGCAATACAAGTCAGCATTTTTTTTGTGATTTATAGTTATATAGTTGCATAGAGCCCTGACAGGTTAGTGAGTCACAAGGCCAGTAAAGTTGTCAAAGCTGGGACTTGAAGCTCTCTTATTCACCACCTCATATTACCTCTGGTCATTCAATGACCAGTAATTTAATAATAAAATATTAAATGTATTTAAGTAATATAACCAGTCAACAAATAGAAATGATACTTGAATTGATATATTCTGTCATTTTCTCTTTTTCCTCTACTTTAAACTCATTAATTACTGATGGTCTGAAATGATCTTTTATAACCAGGGTTTCTGATGGCTTCATGAACTTTAAGAGATACTTCATGTCTAAGATTGACTTTTTATAACTATGATTGGTGGTGCTTTGTTGGTATTGTGATATTATTCTCAGTTATATCTTTGACTAATGTTTTAACTAATGATGTATAATTCTGTTATTAATTGATCCAAAGAAAATTGATTTGTCTTGAGCAAACATTTCATGTTATCTGTTGGAATTGCAAATGGCTAATATATGTGCTGGTTTTTATTTAAGGAAATTTTTTTTTACTTTCAGAATCTTATACCTGGCCTTTAAATAATATTTTTATATTCTTAATGTGGTAATCAGTGAAATGCTAACCATCTGTACAAATGAAGGGAGAAAAGTCAGCAAATTCATTTTGAAAGAGTTTTGTTAAAATACTAGGAAAGCAAAGGCAGCATGATATAACAGAAAGATCATTGAATTTGGAGTCAAAGAATCTAGGGTCAGTCTTTGGCTCTGTCCTCTACTATGTGACCTTGGGCAAGACCCTTCATTTCTCTGGGCCTCAGCTTGCTCATCTATAAAATGAATGGGTCGGACTAGATTACTTTAAAGATACCTTCTAATCTAAACTGATGATTTGAGAAGTTTTGAATAGGATATAGTTCCTTCTCCTAAAAGTACTTTATATTCTGGTATGGCAGTGAGGGAGGGGAATAAGACATGTAATTAAAATATGTCTTTAGCAGTAGATAAATGTAGGCAGCTAGATGGTATAGTGGATAAATCATTGAGCCTGGAAGTGTCAAACTTAGCCTCAGACACCTATGGGTGATCCTGGCTGAGTCACTTAGCTGCTTTCTATCTCAGTTTCCTCAGCTGTAAAATGAATATCCTTATAGCACCTATGTCACAGGCTGTAACAAGTCCTTTAACTTCCCTAGACCTTGATCTCCTGTAATATAAATTGAAGGGTTTAGACTATCTGACCTCCCCTTCTAGCCCATAATCTGTGACCTAACACACACACACACACACACACACACACACACACACACACACCCGTGTGCACCCTTTTCCTTAGATTACAAAGCACTTTCTTCACCACCTTCCCTCCCACCCCCCAACAAGTATCACCTTTTAATATGTAGGAAGTACTCCAGTACTTCCTTTCCTTTCTTTTTTCTTTTCAATTAAACAAGCATTTATTTTCCCTCCTGCCTCTGTTTGAAAAAATGAAAGAGAAAGAAAAATAAAATTTTTGCAATAAATGTGCACAGTCAAGTAAAAGAAATGATTGTATTGAACATGTCCAAAAATGTGTGCTTTATTTTGTATCTTCATATCACCTCTCTGCCAGGAGATGATGTGATGCTCCGTCACTAGTTTTCTGGAATCCTGATTGGTCATTACATTGATTATTAATTTTGACACAACATTCTAGAAACACAACTCTCAAAACAGTCTTTCTAAAGAACATATTTAACCATTTAACTCACCTGTAAAAAAAAATTAACTTTGCATTTAAACTCCTTTACTGTCTTGTTCTAATCTAATTTACCAGTCATATTTCATATACTTCTTCATTCATTCTAAATTGCAAATTCAGTGGACTACTAGCTATTCCACAAACTCATATTATTTTGACATTCTGCCTCCTATATCTGTTCCCTCTCACAAGCTGGCCCCCATGCCAGGATTATACTCATTTTCCCCCCATCCCTTAGGATTCTTAGCTTCTTTCACTCTCCATATAAGTGCTGTCTTTTTGAAAAGCAGATCTGTTCTTGATCTCCCCAGGTGTTCTTTCCATTCTCAGATCATCCAGTATGTATCAAATATATGTTATATCCCTTCAGTAAAATGTAAACTCCATGTGGACAGGGATTTCTTCATTTTTGCTTTATCTCAAGGGTCTAACACAGTGCCTAGAACATTGTACATGCTTCCTAAAAGCTTGTAGAATTCAGCCATTATTTATTCCTTTACTGTGTCCCCTACTTCCAGGCATTGTCTAACTTCTGTAATTCAGAGTTATGTTTTAGAAGCTGTAATCAACCACATGTCATAGAACCATAAAATGTCATTTTTAACTTAAATATTTGTGTAAATTTTCGTTGGACTTTGTTTTCCCTGCATTATAGGTGTGGGATGGTACAAAACCTCCATTTCCATCCTGGAAGGTCTTATTTGAAGATGGTTCTCTTGAAGGGGACGCAGATCGTATTAATCAATTGCAGCATCTGACAGTAGACATCCTGGTTTATGATAACCATGTTGCATTGGCCAAATCTCTAGAGGTGAGGTAGAATACAGACAAGCTTAACAATTTACATATACATATATAAACACACATGCACTTGTGTAGATGTATGTATGTATGTTTGTGCCGCTTATATTTTAGACTTAATTTCAGGTCCACAAATGATTACTTGCAGATCTGATTTGTATTCTGTCGATGCCTAGGCATTATTTGGTGTTAAGTAATTATTTTAAAATATTTATTTAAAGTCATAGTACGTGGAATCCCTTGGAAGAAAAACTTTTAATTAAATAACTTCATAAAGGGAATAAAAAAAACTGCAAGATCATTTCTCTAGTATATTTCCTCAAAAATGGTGTGGAAGGTAATATCATCTCTTGTTCCTTTAAGATGTTTTAAGACTAAAATCTGCCTTAATGTTGAGTTTTGTTATGTGGTTTGGTATTATTGTTCACAACTTTGTATTTCTCAATAAAAAATGTTGTTTACTTTTAAATAGGTAAGGAAAATAGTAAAGCATTTGGTATACTCCTGAACAACTGGAATTGTTTTGAAGTGGCTCGAGACTGTGTTTTTGTTTTAATTTTTATGATAGTTTATTGGAAGTATTATTCTTCAGCAATGAAATAAGAATGCTTGGTTTGTTTCCTAAAACAAATAAGATATTATACCATGTATTTTCAGTATACAACTGTCTTGTATACTTGTCTACTCGGATAAAAATAGTTGTTAGCTTTCTTTGTATACTGAGTGATTTGTGAACTACTGTGTTAAACTTATGTGATAGGAGCAAACCAGAGCTAGTGGTGGGAATAACAGACCATTTTTACCTTTTACCATTTACATATTATGTATACCAATGCCAGATCAGAGGTAATTAATTGCTACTCTTCAACTTTTGGGATACTTGATGACTTTCTTCTTTAGGAATTTGACTCCTTGTTCATGTAAAAAGGTACAGTTTTCTAAAACTTTTTAGGGGGGGGTGTAGATTGTGTCTTTTACATGTACATCCATACTAACAAAAATGAGATTTTACATTTTTCTTGTAACGTCGACATTTTCTTAATCTATATTCTCAATTTTATTTCTTTCACCTTATTTTCTTGATCTTCATTATCTTTCTGGTCCTTAGTTTCCTAACTTGTAGCTTGAAATTAAACTAGATGTTCCTTCCAGTCCTAAGATTTTATGGATTACAATCTATAAACATATATCCTTACCCTATTTATGCTATTTTACATATTTTTTATTTAGCTCAACACATGGCATGCTACTTTTCATATAGTAAGGGCTCAGTAAAGATATGTAGAATAAGCAAATGCAGTAATTTTCTTTGTGTTTTCTGTTCTTTTCCTTTCCTCTGTTTTCTTCCTTCCATGGCTTTTTTTTTAAGGTAGAATTTGGTTTAAGCTGTGTCATATCCAAAAAGATAATGTTATTCTTTTACAGTATAATGTTAAAATGAAAAAAAAAGTCTTTACATAAGCCAAAAAGCTTTATGGTTTTACATAACATAGAATCATCTCAACATTGAAATGGTCATAGGCTCCATCTTTTTTGCTTTTCAGAGCAAAAAAGTACGTATTTATATACTTACCAATGTGCCAGGTTCTACGAAAACAATAACTTCCTATTGGTATTTAACAGAGTTTTCCTTTCTGCCAAAACACTTTAGTCTATAGAATTAAAATGTTAAATTCTTGATTGCAGGGTAGGAAAATATAATTGTAATTATTTATCCTCAATGTAGGAGAATGTCTCCAGTTGAGTGCCTCATGGAATCTGTGTTTGGCACTATGTTGTTTAACATTTTATCACTGACTTAGATAAGGGCATAGATGATAAACTCATCAAATTTGTAGGTGACCGAAGCATGGAATAGATAGCTAATGCAGTAGATGACAGATTTAGGATTCAAAAGGATCTTGACAGTCCAGAGCACCTACTTCACAAGATAGGGAAGATGTGATTAGCAGTTGTACTAGAAAATATCTGAATGGACTTCAAACTGCATCCACTAAATGCAAATTAACAGTGTGATATGGTAGTCAAAAGAGCAAATATAGTTTAGGGTTCCATTAAAGAGTTTCTAGGAATAAAGAGCAATATTCCTTCTGTACGCTGTCCTAGTCAGATAATATATCAGATATTGTGTCCAGTTTGGGGAACTACAATATAGGAAGCTGAAGAGTGTCCAGAGGATGATAACTAGAATGGCGAAGGATCAGTTGAAGGAACTGAAATAGAAAAGATTCAGGTTATATATGATAGATTATCTTCAAGTATTTAAAGTCTGTCATGTACAGTAATATTAGACTTGTTCTCTTTGGCTGTAAAACAGAATCAGGAACCACAGATAGAAACTAGTAAAAGGCAAATTTGGGGTAGCTAGGTGGCAGAGTGGATAGAACTTTGGGCCTAGAGTCTGGAAGACTTGTCTTCCTACGTTCAAATCTGACCTCAGACTCTTATTAGCTGTGTGACTGTGGGCAAGTCACTTTACCCTATTTGCCTGAGTTTCCTCATCTGTAAAATGAGCTGGACAAGGAAATGGCAGACCACTGCAGAATTTTTGCTAGATGTGGTCATGAAGAGTTGGACACAACTGAGCTACTAAACAAGAGGGAAGTTTAGTCTTGATGTTAGGAAAAAAACATCTTTCTAATTAGAGCTGTCCAAAGTAGAATGGACTACCTCTAGAGATGGTAAGCTCCTGTTGGAGGACAGCTTATTTGCCAGGTATATTATAGTGAGGCTTCCTTTTGAGGATGGGTTGCACAGGATGACCACTAAGATCCCTTCAAATTCTCAGATTCTGTGAAGTATTTACAAAATGTACATGAAGCTTGTTGAACAGAATGTAAAATATGAATAATATATGTTAATGAGAAAGTATTATATAATATTTTTAAATATGTAGGGTGTCCCAAAAGTCCTACTGTAGTTTTAGGCTACTAAGATTTAAGATTGCACAAAGACTTTTGGGAAACATCACATTGAAGAAATAACAAATTACATAAAAGGGGGCAGTAAGATATCATTGCATAATGAGAGATTATATTGTGGTCTGGAAGTATACATACTGGAGGAGGGAGATACTGTGTAGAGCATTTGCGTGATGACCGTTGGTGGGAGAAAAAGAAAAGTTATTGTGTTGCAGATAGAGAAGAAGGAATTGAATGATGAGTTCAAGATGTGGATCACAGTGCTGGGCTATAATAGGCAAGCTATAGTAGTAATGGGAGACTTTGGTTATGCAGACTTCTGTTTGAAGTCTCTGAGAAAAGCAAAGATGAGGAATTCTTGGCTTGTCTTATTTAAAAATTCATCCTTTAGAAAGCAGAAGAAGCCACAGGAGGACTTGATTCTGACCTATAAGGAGGAATTTGTTTCCGAAATAGAAGCAATTGGAATATCTTGAAGAAGTAATGATGTTGTATTATAGTTTGTGTCATCCAGGACTGAGTCTCAGTGGAAGTCAGGTCAAACCAAGGAGACAGATTTCAGGAAAAAACAGTGGGCAGGAGGAAGGAGTGCATGATTTTTCAACAAGAGAAGTACAGGAAGTTTTACTGTGGGGGAACTGGAAGCAAGTAAACGCATAAGATGCACAGTTAAAAGGTAGAGCATAATTAAGGGAGTGATCAACAATATTGGCATGTTTTTATGTGCAGATAATTAGCTGCCTGCTGTGTCTCATCAGCTGAGTGGGGAGTTACATCTAAGGACACATTTGGGCATCTCAAAAGCAGAAGACTTAGGTAGCTGGAAATGAGTCAAGCTTTGTGCCCAAGAAACTCAGAAATCCATGTCCCTTTGATCCTGTTCCGTATATCTTCCTAGTGTTGATGGGATTTAGCTTCAAATCTTCTGGGAGGCAATTTTTGCCTCGTGGAGGGCTTCTTCCCTGTTCAAGTTGATTCTCCTACTCTTAAGCACATTGGTTGATCCCTTGCTGCTTACAGTTGTGACTGTATTGACAAAACTTATTACCCTGCTGTAATGCTTGTGAAATTCCACCCTCTTACAACACACACTGCAAGACCAGTGACAGCATCGAGCCTGGCTATAGTATAACATTGACTTACCACTCTGTGCTTCTTCTGTTACCCCTCTATAACCTTAAGTGTCTGAGCGCAGACGTTTGGGATCTCACCTCTGGCTATTAAGGAGTTCTAGAATCTAAGAATTATGTTTCAGAGTTATCACTACTGCTCTTCTTATTTTATGTTTTGGTAGGTATCGATGTGGAATAGGAGTAAGGCTTAGGCTTGGGGTGTTTATAACTCATACAGTATGTACTTTTGAACTCTTGGTTAATGTATCTTTCTCATCACACACTTGGAGAAAATTTAAACACACGTGTGTGTGTGTGTGTGTGTGTGTGTGTGTGTGTGTGTGTGTGTATGTGTATGTGTGTGTGAAATATATATATTTTTTAACCCTGTAACCAAAGTAGAGACAGAGTAGAAAATTTTTTTGTTGCTGCCTTAAAGCTCTTTGTATATCACCCAGACTTCAGAAGGTTTCTATTGTCTTCTACTCTCCATCTTTGTAATTTCTTTTTCTGCATCTGTCAATGTTCCAGTCATTGCCACTTTTAATCTCCATTCTTCTTTTCTTTTTCTCTTCCTTTTTTTTGCTTTTCTTCCTTGTATCTTCTGTCATCTGTGACTTTTCTCTTGATCCACAGATTGTGTGGGAAAAAGTTGGCCTTTTGTAAATAATGTAAACAAATCAAATCACATCTTTCCATCTGGTCACAGAATATTTTATGTAATCTTTCAGTCTTTGGCTTTTATCTCAATAGTTTTCCTCATTAATGTTTAAAGTTTGCTAATTTGTGTCTAGAACCTTTTGCATGGAGACTCAGGGGTGCCAAATTGGGGCATTACTTCCAGGTTTAGTACCTTTATATGCTCTTGATGATGTTAGAAATCTTGTCTGATCACTTTTTTTCCCTGTAATTATATTGGCATTATATGTATGTAACCATACTGTGTATGGTTCCAGTATTTTACCTTGGGCATTTTCTGCTGCAGAATAGTTAAGTTTTCGGTTTGAAGGATTGTAAAGAATAATTCTTCTAGTAACATTTTGCATTAGCATAGCACTTACTGCTTTTGAAAGTGTTCAGATTTTTTATTTTTAAACAATGGAGTATATTATCTTTATAGTAATTCTTAGATATTTCAACAAATCTGAGATTTCAGCTATAAAGACATTCTTCCCAATGATACAAATTGTATTTTATCTATACCTGCTCAACCTGTATAATTCATATCCTCCCACAAATCAACAGAGGCACAGCTATACCCAGCAGGTCAACGGAACCCAGAACCAGGCATGGCTGCCCTCTACAGTATGTCTTAGAGAGATGTGTGTGTATGTGTGTGTGTGTGTGTGTGTGTGTAGAGCCCTTTAAATTTTTGTTGAAATGGAAAGGTGGGTGTGTTTGTTAGTTGTGATTCTCTCGCTCTCTTTCTCAGATACTTTATGAATTGATCCCTCATAAATTGGGCTGACTCTAAGACATTCTGTGTATCCTCCTCCTCCTCATTATTGTTATAAGTAATAAAAATAATGATGATGATGTAATGATAATTCTCATGTATGTGGTACTTGAAGGTGTGGTAAACACTTTGTCCATAGCAGCCTTGTAAGGTATGGAGCGCAGGTTTTATTCCCATTTTACAGAAAGTGAAACTAAAGTCCACAGTGGTTAATTAAATTTATAGGAAAATAAGTCAACCTCTGCCTTATAGGAGCTAAAGTCCATAGAAATCAAGTCATTTGACTAAAGACACATGGGTAGCACCAGAGACAGGTCCTTTGAATCCAAAACTTATGCTCTTTTTTTTTAATTAGTAGGTGTCAGATTGATAATTTGAATCTGAATAATTTCTGACTTCAATTCCAGTACTGCTTCTGTCTCTACCATTCTGCCTGTACTGTGTGAAAAATCTTGACTGTACTACAAGTGTGATTTTATCAGTTTAATAGTTCTTTGCTCTGTCTTGGTAGAGTGTTTTATAGTTTTGTGGGGAAAACAAAATACACCATCACCATATAATCTTCTTGTCATGAACCTCTCTCAAATTAGGCTGATACTTGGAAACCTGGGGCAATATTTGCACCATTGTCAGTCTTGAACTTATTTTTTCCCATATTTATTTTCCGTGTTGGTTGAGCTTCGTGGTCTTGAACCCAGTTTCATATAGGTCTAGAATCAAGGGGTACTTTCATGTCACAATCATGTGACAGGGTAGTACTTTAGACGTAGATTAATTATTTGTTTTCAAAAGGATTTTTTTTCTCTCTTTAAGAAGTATTTACTAGAATTTTGAATACAAAAGCACATCACAAATTGTTTAAATTTGTTTTCCTATAACTTTAATGAATATATGTATTGTGTAAAGTGAGATACAACTAGACAAATGCTCCATTGAATGGCTACATAAAATCTTTGTATTCTATGGCTTTTTTTTTTTTTACTTTTTGGTGAGGCAATCCAGGTTAAGTGACTTGCCCAGGGTCACACAGCTAGTAAATATCAAGGCTGGATTTGAACTCAGGTCCTCCTGATTCCAAGGCCAGAACTTTATCTACTGTGCCACGTAGCTGCCCTCTGCCATTTTTCTGTATATTGTACTTTATTTTGCTGTTACTAAAAATATTTAACTTATATTGCCAGAATTCTTATTTTCATTTAGAATACTTACTTAAAGTACAGTAGAGGAAGATACTATTTAAATTTTAGGCAGATTTTTTTGGTAAATAAGTGATTAGAAGTACTATACATTTCTTTAGTGCTTTTTGAAAATTAAACCTCATGATTTCTTTCTGATTCATTTTTCTTAAATATTTTAATTCATATCCAGTTTTCTTCCTTTTCTTTTTGATAGAGTTTTGATAGTGTTTCATCTGTTTGTAATCTTGTCAGCATGCTGATTTACATCTGACCTACTGTGTTATAATATTATGTATGCTTTGTTTCACCAGGCCTCTTACTAAAAATTGAGCTGAAATACAAGACTGCCACCAGAAGGAATGTATGAATATAGCAACTTGTTATTCTTATGTATGATTTCTATTTTGATGTCAGTCTAAGAAAATCTTAGTGTGTATGTTTGCTCTTGATGATTCTTGTTTATTCAGTTTACTGAGTATTTTAATCTGAATATAAATGGAAATGAAAGGCAGTATGACCTGAAATTGGGAAAATGTGGGTTCAATTTCTACCTCTGCCATATGTTAGCTGTATAAACTTTAAGCAAGTTACTTACCTTTCTCTCAGGGTTCAACACAGCCCTCTAAGCCTATGCGTTACATTCTGCAGAAGTAGAGTGAGTCTCTACAAATCAAGATCCCTAGTCTGATGAAATCACAGTTCCAAAACAAAAAAAAAAAGAGGAACAAGTGAGCAAATGAGCAAACGATAAAAATTCTGCTTGAAATAGAGATTTAAAAAATATATATTTCTTGTTTTCTGTGAGAGGTAGCAGAGCTTAGTGAATAGACTGCTGACCTCAAAGCCAGAAGAACCTTGCCTCTGACATATACTGAATGAATGAACCTGGGCAAGTCTCAACATCTCAGCTTTCTAGGCAACTTTCTGTGACTCTTAAAGTTGTAGAAAACATGCTTACTAGCATTGATAAAGAGAATTTTATAAGTTTATTTATGTTATTTTTGAGGAAGCAATGGGATACAGTAGAAAAACATTGAATTTGGAGTCAGTCCCAGTTTTCTCTGAAATCAACCATTTAATCATTTCATATACTCCCTTAGTTTCCAGTATTTTGCTGCTTCTGCACACGCGTGCACACACACACACACACACACACACACACACACAAGCATCATGCACACACACATACTTTTAAATATCTTTGCACATGTTGATATTTTTTTCACTTTCCTTGATCTCTTTAGAGTATTGGTCATGTAATAAATAGTATTGCTGGGGCAAAGAGTATGCACAGATTAGTGACTTTCTGGTCACAGTTCCAAAATGTTTTCCAGAATGGCTAGACTAATTCACAGCTCAACCAGTAGTACAAAATGTGCCTTTTTCCCATAACCCTTCCAACAATTGTCATTTTCCATTTTTGTCAGTATGATAGGTATGAGGTACAACCTCAGAGTTGCTTTAATTTTCATTTCTCTAACTGCTGGTGATTGGGAATATATTTTCATATGTTTATTGATAGTTTGGATTTCTTCCTTTGAAAACTACTTGTTCATATCCTTTGAACACTTATTTCTTGGGAAATGGCTCTTGTTCTTCTAAATTTAAATCCATTCCTTATATATCTACTGTGTATGATCTTTGTTTGCTTATAACTCTAGTAGAAGTTGCATATTCCTGACTGTGGTTCCTTGGCAACTGATCTGCTTTCTTCTGCATTCTTTCAGTACTTTTTTCTTTGAAATGGGATCTCTGGATTTTGGTTATGGCATTCCTGGAACACTTTCTTTTGAACTCTTAGGAACTGATTGGTGAATTTTTTTATTCGCACTTTGCTCTTTCATTCTAATAGAATTGGGTAGTTTTCACTTATACTTTACTGAAATATAATGTCTAGAATTTTTTTTAAAGCATGGTTTTCTAGAATTCCAATGATTCTTTAATTAACTTTCCTTTACCCATTTTCTAGGTAACTTTTTCTGTCACATTCCTTATATCTCAGTCTTTTGATTTCATTCTAGTAATTCTTATTGTCTTTGAAAGGCATTCATTTCTGTCTTTTCTGGTTTTCTATGTTTTTTGGATAATGTTTACCACTTTCTTTTCTAATCTATTTATTCTTCCATTTTTTCCCTCCATAGGTTTTATTCATTTTTATCTCTGTTTTCTTGGTATTTAGGTGATCATGTATAAAATCTATTCATACCTACGTTGGACCCTGCAGGTCCCCATAAATTCCAGGTTCCCTACACTGGGGCTTTCTAATCTTTCTCAGAGTGTACTGTGTGTGCTTGTGTTGAGTTGAGGAGACGAGGGGTAGGGGGTGTTGGAATCCCTGGCTTTAGATAGAGCCTTAAAGGTTTTTCTTATTTCATGTGGCCTTCTGCCCAAGTTGTCATGAAGTTCTGGGGTGAAATAAGTCACTTGCTGTGATTTCTCATTGGACTGCTTGATCATTATTCAGTGTGGTGCAAATCTCACTCAGTGCATTGCTGGATGGTCAGTTTCCATTCAGGCAGCAATTTTGGCTCAAAGTCTGATCATGCGGAAAAAGGATAACTCTACAGTTACAGTGAGCTGAATAACCGTATCAGTTATATCAATGTCAGCTAGTATATATGTAACATTAGTTTCATCTGTGACCTTTCAGGATCCTTAAGTATCTAATGTTTGGAGATAAAGCAGGTTACCAATTAGTTGTCCATCCCATTCATTGACTAAGGAAATGCAGGCATAGGATATTCCATTTTGAGAATGAGTTGTTTGCAAAATACAGTTTGGCAATAGTCAGGCTCCTCCTACACGACTCAATACTAATTTTGGGAAGATCTATTATACCTAGAAAAGTACTGAATCTTGAATTATATTCTTCACTTCCCCCCCCCAAAGTATTGGCACCATGAAAAAGCTTTCAAAGGCATCATTTGAATTTAGCTTCACACTTGGCAAGATTTCTTAATGACAGAGCCAAAGAAGATGATAATCAAAATAGACGGAATGCCTCAATTTAGGAAATACAAAGTAAAAGGAAAATGATATGATTGAACATTCTTAGAAGAAGGCAGTAGTTTTATACTTAAAATATAACTTTAATTTTAGATTGGAACCTTTCTCAGGATTTATAGTTTACACACAAAAATTCATCCCAACTCCTAAGAAGCAGTCAAATATTCCACATCTAGAATTTCATCTTCATGGAGGTACCTGCTATGGTCGAGGAATCAAGGTCTTGCCAGAAAATAACTGTGATGTTGAAGAACTGAAAAGGTAAGAGTATTAAATGTGTGCTTAGACATCTAGGAATGTGAAAGAAATCATCAGGTCCACTTTTTATCAGGGCTGGAGTGTCAGACCAGATGAGAATAGAGCCTATGGTTTTCAGAATAACTATCCTTTCCATCTGACATAATTCTTTGTATAGTAGGAGGTTGTGTGGTGTAGTAGTTCACTGTGTATATGGAAAATGCTCATTTTAGTTGATGTTGTGCTCAGAATAAAGTTAATGGAAAAAATAAGGACCATTATTTTTTTAAAAATAAATTATCTAATGCCATTCTTTTTAATGGTTTTAAGATAGTCAACACCACCATTTTATGTCTTCTATACTTAAGATGAATGAATGCATTTAAAAAAATTACTTAGCTTAAGGTACTTGTGCTGAATGTCAGAGGTCCAAATGCAGAAATGAAATGGTCCCTGCCCTCATAAAGCTTACCTTCTAATAGGGGAAAACAGCAATAAGGTAATAGGCCAGGAAAGAATGCTTTTGTTTAGGAAGTCATAAGGAAAGTGAGTGGAACAATATAACAGTTCATTAGAACAATCTTTTTAGAATCAGAGAATAGTATTGATTATGTCTTTCAGAGCAAGAAGTGGAGAGCAGATCGCTGGCTGCCAAGAGAGCAGTAGATAGAAGCTGTGAAGAAGCACCATCCCAGAGCAGTAGGCAGTTCAGACCTGATAGACAGCAGCATGTTATTTTGCTTTTTTGGGTTAAAATAGATCTAGAGGGGCAGCTAGGTGGTGCAGTGGATAGAGCACCGGCCCTGAAGTCAGGAGGAGCTGAGTTTAAATGCGGCCTCAGGCCAAACAAATATTTTTGAGACTGGTAATGCCTTTTTTCTTGTCTACTTGTTAATGTAATACTAGAATAGACCTGGCAGAATAGACCTTGACACTTACTAGCTGTGTGACCCTGGCAAGTCACTTAACCCCAATTGCCTTAAAAAAAAAATCTAGAGCCAAAAGGTACCTGAGAGAGTGTATAGTCTAAACTCTTCATTTTATAGATCATTTTCTAAATAAAGACACTGAGGATGAGAGAGATTAAGTGACTTGCTCTGAAGAATCTAGAAGCATTAGGTAGCAGACCTTTTTAAACTAATGCCCGCTTTTCCTGGCTTCTAGCTGTCTATATTTGCCGTGGCCATGTTTATAGCCTTTTACCCTGCTCTGTCCTTTCATTGACTCACAGTTAGTTGGCATCCACCTAAGATGATCTGAAGAACCTGGGGTAATCTCAATTGGATATGGCAATTTTGTTTTCTGATACATAATATAGTAGCATGAATTTTGAAAATACTGTATTCTTTGTATTATAGGTTTTTAGATTCTGTGGATCTAGCTGAGTATCAGCAGTTGGAGAATGTCTGTGATTTGGACTATAACATCTCAAACAGTTATTCCTGTAAGAAGTCTTAAAAATGATTCTTTTTTGTTACATACATGCTTTAAAAGTATATTGCATCTTTTTGATGTCTCACATAAAAATCCTTCATAGTACTAATTAAGAAGAATAAGTTGATTTTTGTGGAAAGTTTTAGTTTTTGATTTCTTCAAAGCATTTTCCACCCTAATTGTTTGGATGAAATTACTTTGTGCAGTTTTGGTAACCTTGTCAAAGGGAAAAGGAATGTAGCCTAAGTGATTTAAATAAGGGTAACAAGATGTGAGGAAAACTGTTGTCTTGAACTTCATCATTTGGTCTCTGTCTTTGAATATCCCTAACCATCTGGTCGCTTGAGTGAGCCTGGCTGCTCCAGTAACTACCAAAGATCACCATCCAGTGGTGAAACAAGCACACTGCAGGTACAATACAGTACAAGTAGTGAATTGCTAATGTACAGTAGTGCAGTACAGAATATATTTTAGCTATACTGCAGAAAGTACATTAAAATATATTGTTTTGTCTTCCTAACGTAATACAGCAGGTCCTCCCCACTGTGGAAATATAGTGTAGATATAAAAAAGTCTTCTAATGGAGAAAAGTTCTCAAACTCCTAATTATGTTATATTCAGAAATCAATAAACTATTAAGTTGTTAGGTTTGAAGTGAATATTTGAATTTGAATTATAAAACTGTGAAACTCAAGAGTTCTCTTTGTATCACTTTGATAATAGTAATTATAATAATGATAGCTAAAGTTTATATAGCCCCTGTTATGTGCCAGGCACTGTGCTAAGTACTTTACAAACATCTCATTTGATCCTCACAACACCCCTGGAAAGGAAATGCTTTTATAATTCCCATTTTACAGATGAAGAAACTGAGGTTAAGTGACTTGCCCGGGGTCACACAGCTAGTATCTGAGTCTTAATTTGAACTCAGGACTTCCTGATCCTAATGTCTGGGACTTCCTAGTTTATAGGACACTCTACTGCCTGCCCTTTTTTGATGCAATGTATCTCAACCTATCTTTTATACTCCACTGGAGATCTAGAAGCCATTTGTAGCAGACCTTTTTAAACTAATGCTCACTTTTTCCTGGCTGCTAGCTCTCTAGATTTGCCATGACCATGTTTATATCCTTTAACCCTGCTCTGCCCTTTCATTGACTCACAGTTAGGTTGGCATCCACATAAGAATAAAAAGGGTAATTTTCAAGTATTTTTGAGACTAGTAATGCCTTTTTTTCTTGTCTACTTTTTAATATAATACTAGAGTAGAACTGGCAGAAAATTTAGAATTCATCTAGTCCAGCCCTGTCATGTTATATTGTAGGTGAATAAAATGAGGCCCAGAGAGGTTAGAAAAGTTGCTCAATCTCACACCAAGTTATTGGTAGAGCTAGGAGCAAAACCCGATAAATTGAGAAAGAATCTTTTTCTGAATTAAAATTTTATTTTTCCTAAGCTGACTTCTAATGAGATTATAAAAAGCATAATCAATCAAAAAACATTTTTAATGTGCATACTATGTGTCAGACCCTGTGCTAGGTGCTGAGAATACAAATAAAAATTAAATAGATCTTGTCCTCAAGAAGCTTACAATATTATAAAATATGTTTGCTTAAATAAACCAGTGGAAACAGTAAAATTTATATTGAACTCACAAACTTTCACCCAGAATGAAAATTGATGCTGAGAGATAATCTAGCTAGGATTGTCTCCAGAAATATGCTGGTAAATATTTAACCAACCAGCTCTCTGGGAAAAAAAATATACACAACCAACTTTTAAGTTTAATCTGTATTAACATTTTCTCTGTCACTTTCTTCAGCTAGACAGTCAATAAAAACAATAAACCAAGCCCTGATTTTTATCATTTTCTGATTTCAAAGTGTAAATGCATGTACTGAATACTTAACAATCAGTTCTCAGAGCCAGTCTGATCTTGTGCAAATGCACCCCTGAGTATCTCCCAGCGTTTACCAGAGATGTTATAGTAGGATTATACAAAATCAATATAAATGCCTATAAGGAAGAATCCATATAAATTCCATATTTTTGAATATATGAATGTACAAGGGTTGGGCATGGTGGTGCACACCTGTAATCCCAGCTATGTGGAAGACTGAGCTCTAGTACACTGTGTAGATTGAGTGTCTGCACTAAGTTTATCATCAGTATAGTAAGCTGCTGGGAGCAGGGAACCACCACATTGCTTATGGTGGGATGAACCAGTCCAAGTCAGAAGCAGAGCAGTTCAAATCTCTTGTATGGATCAGTAGTGGAATCTGGCCCTGAAATAGCCCTTGCTCTTCCAGCATAGGCGAGATTGGGAGATTCAGTCTTTAATTAAGAAAAAAAAAAGTGTACAAGGGCTATAGTGATGATTTCTTTTGCGTGACTGTACTTTTGTTCTAAAGACAAGAAATAGTTCTTTTGGGGACAGGGGAGAGGATTCATTGGGAAGTGGCAGTTATGTAAAAAAAGAACATTAATAAAACATTTTTAAAAGGGCAGAGTTTGTAAGCTGAAATAGTTACCATCAGAAATATTAGGGGTTTTTTTCTTTTCTCAAAAAATGAAAGTTTTTTTGTAATAATTTTGAAATTTGCAGTTTCTTTTATTGTATTTGTTATACCTTAATAAAAGGTAAACACTACTTTATGAGATTTTTATATACTACTAAAATTAACAAGATTTTGACTTTATCTACACATGCCTATCATTCATTCAAAATTGTAATGTGGTGGTTATTTTTTCGTTCATGTAGCCCAAGACTTTGTGTCACCATGTGATCTAGAAAGATGTCAACAGCTATCTGCCACAGGTATGACAACACAGCCAACCCAACATTGTTTTTGTAATAAAGAAGATACCTAAGTGTTTTCCTGAAAGCATTTACTAGGTGGTCTACTCAATTTAAAGCCATGCTAGATTTCTATGAAGGTAGAACATGGTCATCTTTACTTCCTTCCCCCTTTACCTTGTTATTTTATTCCATTTTGTCATTGGGTAAATTGATATATGTTTTGATATTTAAAAGATGTATTTTGATATTTAACCCAGTTTTTAATACTGTACTGAAATAGTGCCTACTATATCATTGATACTGAGTGCTGCCCTGAGAAGAGTTGAAGGATGTCATAATTCAGAATTAAAAAGTTTACACGTGCTGTATATTCACCTTAATAAAAATGTGACTGTCTAATTTTATAACTTGAATAACTTTAATAATGATCATGCTTTATGTTTTGGTTCTCTGTTCATCTATAGTGATTCAAGAGGAAACATTCTTAAAATGTTTAAAGAGCTCTATTGCTGACCTGTTCTGTATAAAACTACAGTATAACAATTCCCCAAGGCCATAATAAGCTCCTGCAATTAATTAAGTCTATACTAATGGGCATTAAAAAAAATCATTTTTAAAATCATCTTCCCTTAAACTATTAGCTTTTGAATCTTGCTCAATGGAGGCAACCTTCCAGAGATCAGAATAAAACTGAGTGCTAAGGAGAACAGCTATATAGAGAGAAAGAAGGAAGAGAAAGGGTCTTAGAGGCCCATAGAACTTTGGGCCACAGTCAAATACTATTGGATACTGTTCAGCTAGGGTAGGAAAACTTGCTCCTAGATCACCAGGCAGACTAAGCCCATCCCTGCCTAATTTCAAGAATTGTCTAGTATTATTCCAAGCCTCTTTTCCAAATAAATTAAAATGTTTTATTTTACTGGCGACTTTCCAGGTAACCTTCCCTTGTGTTGGTTACAGAAGCAGTATAGAATGATCATGGCAGTAAAACATAAAACATGGGATTTGGCATTTCAAGGAATCTTAGATGTTATTAAGTCCAAGGTGCTTGTCTTAGAAATGAAGAGAATGAGTCTCAGAGTCATACAGGAAGAAAATAGACAGCCAGTTTAGGAGTTTTAACGGTAGTATAGTAAAACTTCATCACTTTGAACTAATTAGCTGTATAGTCCATCTTAATTAGAAATGTTAGATGACTTTCAGAGAACTACCTTGTATTAATTTCAGGTACATACAGTAATTGGAACTACATTGTCAAAATGCTTCCTAGTATAGGTTTCTTAAAAGGTATTTGCTTTAATGTGTTTATTAAAGCAAATTTGAATTATTCTTACAGGAGAAATGTTAATTGGTATATCATATCTAAAAGGATGTCCTAAAATACATTAAAAACAGGTTATCTTGAATATAATAAGCATTCCCTTAGCACTCTTATTACATAGGACTACTAGAAAATCTTTTCTTTTTAGATAATGTAAGGTTTATTTCTGCCAACCCTTTGTCCAGATGTTACGAATTCTTAATTAAAGTCATCTAAATTAATTGGACTTCATCATATACACTTGGTTCAGAGGGATTTGTGGAATGCTATATTCATCCAAAAACACTCCTTTATAGTACTTACAGATCACCAGTATTTGGAGACAACTCCATTGAGTGCTATTTTGAAACGTGATGCTCCTCAACAGTATCGCATCAGAGCAAAACTAAGGAACTATGAACCCCAGAAACTTTATCAGTCCGTTAAACTTCATTGTCCTAAATGCCATTCACTGTAAGTGTTTCATCTACTCAAAAAGATAATTTACTTCAAATTATCTCTGTGTATTGTATCGTTGAATTTTAAGTTTTAGAATGATCAATTAAATATATTTAAGTTTCATGAGATGGATTTTGGGCCTGTAATCCTAGTTTACACCTTTCTGATTAATTTCAGTAAAAATATTTGCTATGTAAAATTATGATTTGAACATGCTTATCACCTGCCTTTCATAACATTGCTAAATGTTTTATAGTGTGTAAGAACTACTTAACTGTCTAAATATGATCATCTTCATAATAAAAAACTTAGTAAATAGCTTAATAGCTGTGCTTTACTGATAATAGTTTGTTAACCTTCACTGTTTTAGTCTTCCAAGCAGTTTTATAAATCATTTGTTTCTATCATGTATTATACAATGGTTTTAGGCAAGAAGTTCCACATGAAAGTGACCTTGAGTTACTTTTGCAAGAGGCTGCAACAGAGCAGTCAGATCCCAAACTACAAAATACATCACTATATGACTCAGAAGTGTGGACTACCCAAAACCAGCAAGAAAGAAAAATAGTTATTCATTTCGTAAAACACGATGGAATTCTCCATGCCCCAGAAGATACCTTGATCATGATAGAAGGTATGTAGTTTTTAATTGCTTTTTTGTTATAAGAAGAGCCTTGACCACTAGGTTGTTTTTCCTCTAGTAAAGTGTTAATTTTGCATAAAAGTTAGGTGATGTCTCTGACATACTGATTCAATTGATAGTTGCAAAAATGTCTTAAGTTTTTGTTGTTCTCTTTTTATAAAACACCCAGAATATTTGTATCTGAATCTAAATTTGGGCCTGCTTTTGGGATTGCACCTAATGGTTTGTTTGGTTTTGTCTAATGTGTGAAAATAGAGCTTGGATAATAAAATGGCTTTTGGTTTATGACCAGCAGCTTTTAACTTGGCCTCTAGATGTCACTGTTGTTTAACATACCAGGGTAAAGTCTCGGTATCAGAATGGGAAAGGGATAGCTTTAGAAGAAATAATGTTAACTTAAGTTTAACAAGAATTAATATTGAACCTACTTTTTCAGTTTGCTTTCAATAAAAGTCAAGTGAACATTTTTAAAATATTTTTTATTGTTATTTAAAGATTTTATGAACTTCCATATAATTAAAGGGAACATCCTTTCTGTTCTGTGCTAACAAAAATTTTGTTCACCAAATAAATATCAATCAGAACATAATCATTTATATAGCACTTTAAGGTTTGCAAAGTGCTTTGCATATTTCATTTTGTTTAATCCTAACAACAACTATGTGATGTGAGTATTATTTTTTATTCTCATTTTACAGATGGGAAAACTGAAGTCCTAAACTATGATTGTATCCACATAAGGGACTTCTGGAGTAGAAACTCCTTCCATCAATGCAGATCAGCAATTCATTTCTAATTTAAAAGTGTTATCTAGGACAGTTGTGTCAAGCTCAAATAGAAATTAATCCCTGCAGGGACATACTGACTTAGAAAACCTGAAATTTTGATATTATTTATGCTGTTACGTTTTTATTTATTTCATTAAACATTTCCCAGTTACATTTGAGCCATACTTGGCAGTATTGCAGGCCTTTAACAGCTAGTGTGTTTCAGAAGTAAAATATAAAGCCAGGTCTTTCTTACTGTAAGGCCAACTCTGTCCACTATATCAAGATGCCCCTTATCTTTATTGTGATGAATGGTTATCCGGGAGATATAGTTCCAGAAGTATTTTTGGAATATAGATGTCTCTAGTAGCATTTCTTGAAAATCACATTGGAGGATAGGGACTGATTTACTGTAGTCATTGTTGTAATGGAAAGGAAGTTGAATTTGCTATATTTCATTTCAATGTTTTTCCATATATCTTCTATAGAAAATCCATCCAGTATGTTGCAGGTCAAGGTCTTTTTATACTTTGAGGATACCGAGGAAGTATTGGCCAGTTTATCTGTTTTCCTACACTCTTACCATTCCACCTCTTGTTATGATCATAAGTTTTTCAGTGATATAACTTATTCCATTTCTTGAACATAGATTGCCTGTGCTAGAAGATAGATTTCTGCACTGTAATTTCTCACCATCTAATGGGAAGGTTAAGATTCCCTGCATATCTTATGCTACTAAAGATTATACTGTATCTACTACCAGCCTGAACTACCCTACCTTCCCCGTAGTACCAGTTGACTGTCAAACACTGAGCCTTTATTCTGAACAAAATGATGAGTGGCACACACAGCAGTTTCCTAGTGTTATGGCTAGCTTCCCAGGGTTCCATAGAATCCTGCTGGCAATGTCAATAATATTTCAGTGCCAGTAACAGACCTAGTAGTAAACAGTGGACAAACATGGGTCTTTGCAGTATTAAAGGAAAAACTATTGTTTTCAATTGAAGGGCAGAACTATTGGCTGGCAAAAAAAAAAGAACGAAAACCTTTAAAATATAAGTTTTTAGAACTGTAGGATTAGATCTCTAAATTATGGATTTGGATTATTAGGTTTGAAAAAGATTAAATAAAAATTGGGAGAATTTTGTAGTAGTAGTAAGAGGAGGAGTAAAGTAGTATTTATGTAGAGCTTTTAAGGTTTTCAGAACACTTAAATACATGAACTTATTTCCTCACAAAACACTGTAGGGTAGGTACTATTAGTATTTATCCCATATTACAGATAAGCAAATGACAGCTCAGAAAAGGTATCTTGCCCAATGTCAAACATCTAGTAAGTTCCAGAGGTAGTATTTGAACCCATGTTTCTTCATCCAGCTCCAGTATTAAGCCGTATTGTTAGAAGAATAAGAATGGAAGAAACATTAATCTATTAAAATTAATTGCAACATTCTTGAAGATTTAAAAAATTCCCCTGTTGACCCAGCAGTAGCACTTCTAGGGCTGTACCCAAAGAGATCATACAAATGGGAAAAGGACCCACATGTACAAAAATGTTTATAGCAGCTCTTTTTCTGGTGGCAAAGAACTGGAAATTGAGAGGATGCCCATCCATTGGGGAATGGCTGAGCAAGTTGTGGTATATGAATGTAATGGAATACTATTGTGTTATAAGAAATGATGATCAAGCAGACTTTAGAAAAACCTGGAAAGACTTGTATGGTCTGATGCTGATTGAAGTGAACAGAACCAGGAGAACGTTGTACACAGGAACAGCCATGTTGTGTGATGACTAATATTGATAGACTTAGCCCTTCTCAGCAATGCAAGGATCTAAGACATATCCAAAGGCCTCATGATGGAAAATGCTATTCACATCCAAAGAAAGAACTATGAAGTTTGAATGCAGATGGAAGCATACTATTTACTATTTTTTTTTCTTCTGTTGTGTTTTGTTTCCTCTTTCTGGTGGTTCCTCCTATTGGTTCCAGTTCTTCCTTACAACATCACTAACGTGAAAATATATTTAATAGTAATGTATATGTATGGCCTATATCAGATTGTGCCCTGTGTTGGGGGGGGGAAGTGGGCAGGGAGGGGGAGAAAAATTTCAAAAGTTTTTGGAAGTCATTGTTGATAAATCAAAACAAATTAATAAAAAAAAAGTTAAAAAAAAAGATTTAAAAAATTCCTTGTGCCACTTCTAACTCTTTATACCTTAATGATTAGCAGATAGAAAAATATAATTTCATTTTTTGTGTAATAGAACATGTAATTTTGTCATTTAATGAAAATGATTACTGTTGTTATAACAAATGGTACTGTTAATTTTAGAATTGTTTGTAATAATATAATAAAACTTCATATACAGATGACTCATCTGAAGTTTTATATAATTGCTAAAATAAATTATTCTGAATGGCTCAGTGTTTCTTCCTTGATTGCACTTTTTGCTCTTTAGCCTTAATTCATGTATTAAGTTAATATATTGGAATACTTTTCCTGTCTTACATTTAATTACAGGTGCTAATTCTAAAACTATGATAAGAAATGGAAAAACCTTATGTAGTAAACAAAACAACATAATTTATTATACTATTTCTAAGAAATCACTTTTACTTTTAACAGGAGGAATATTGAGTGAAATTTATCAACTCTCAAAAAAGTTTAAAGGTGTTATTCCTGTGAAATCCAGCCAAGAAGACCTCATTGTCCTAGATCTGGCAGTACCATTCCTCATACAAGGAAAAACATGGCATTATGGGTATGTTTACAAACTAAAATTATGTGTAATTAGAAGCCAAATAAATATAATTTTTAATTTAGTGACTCATGTCTCTATTACATAAAATAAGGTCCTTTCCTTTTTTTTTTTTTTTTGCAAGGCAATTGGGGGTTAAGTGACTTGCCCAGGGTCACGAAGCTAGTAAGTGTCAAGTGTCTGGTCTGAGACCAGATTTGAATTCAGGTCCTCCTGACTCCAGGGGCAGTGCTTTATCCACTGTGCCACATAGCTGCCCCTTCCTTTCTTTTTTAAGATAATGATTTTAAAATCAATTTGTCTGTCTCTCTATATGTCTGTCTATCTGTCTGTCTACCACCAACCTAAGACTGTATCTCCTTCTCTTGCCCAGGCTGGAAGTACAACAGCCACCCATGGAACTGATTCCAACACTGTTTAGCCTTGCCGTTCTCCATTTTTCTGGGATACTGCATATCACCTTAGTTAGCCTGGTGGTCCGCTATTCCTGGGAACTTACTACATTGGCACTAGATTTAGCACAAGTGGTTTCAGACCTGCTGAAGCTCAGAACCCCTGAACTCAAGGGATTCATCAGCCTCAGCCTTCCCCAGTAGCAGTCTGAGATTACAAGCTTACACCACCATATTCAGCCATGTTTAATTTATATATAGGTACATGAATTGCAAGGATCACATGATATAATGCAGAACACTTATAAATCAGTACCAGAGTACTGTTATGATGCTTTAATTTGATTAAAAAGCACTTTGTTTGCAAATTCAAGGAGTGAAATTTCCAGTTTAATTTTTGCTTAGATAGAAAATATCTCTAGATTGAGAAATATATTTCTGGACTTCTGGTACTTGCTTAGGTTTTTTAAGATTTGCAGGTTGTAAAAAATTATTATTTTCATTCTACATTATCTCATTATACTTTTTATTTAGATCACTGGTATTAGATTATTGTATATTTACTGAAGTTTGTTATTCTGTGATAACTAGAAAGCTTTGATTTATTTGAATATGATCAGTGGTTTGGAAATCTCTAATTTATTCTTTGGTTTTACACTCACATTTATAAATCTGTTCAAGAAATATAATTCTCAAAAAGAAAGTTTTAAATAAAGGTACTTGGTTTATATCGCTGAGACTTGGCTTGCTCATTTATAAAAAGAGGGAACTGAATCATATGATCTCTAAAGCACTTGCTGTAATGTTCTGTAATTCTGTAATTCTAGTATAAGAGAGCCTACATAGATAACATAAATTTAAAAAATTTTTTTTTCAATTAAGCATTTTTTTCTCTTTAACTTCCCAAGGGTGGGATGGGGGGAGAGAAACATTTGTGAAAAATATATATAGTAAAGCAAAACATTTTCCCACATTAGCCATGCCCAGAAATATTATATTCTCCATATTAAGTCCATAACCTCTCTTGTTAGGAGATAGGTAGCATTCTTCTTCACTGGTCCTCTGGCATCATGGTTAGTCATTGCATTGATCAGAGTTCTTAAGTCTTTCCAAGTTGTTAATTTTCACCATGTTTTTGTAATAGTTTTAATTGTTTTCCATGTTCTGTTCATTGCACTTTGTATCAATTCATATAAATCTTCCCAGTTTTCTCTGAAAATTCCCTTCATCATTTAGTATAGTACAAAAGCCACCAAAGCGATTTTTCTAAAGTGCAGGTTTAACCATGTCACTTCCCTACCTCATAAACTCCATTGGCTCCCTATCACCCCCAGGATCAAATACAAAATCCTCTGTTTGACATTCAAAGTCCTTCTTAACCTGCCCCCCCTACCTTTCCAGACTTTTTACACCTTATTCCTCACCACACATTCTTCAGTGTGGTGGTACTGGCCTCCGGACTGTTCCATGAACAAGACTGTTCCATTTTTCCACTCCAGCATTTTCTCTGGTCATCCCCCATACCTGTCCTTTTTTTTAATTTTTATTTTATTTTATTTATTTTATTTTATTTTATTTTATTTATCTATTTATGTTGAGGCAATTGGGGTTAAGTGACTTGCCCAATGTCACACAGCTAGTGTCAGGTGTTTGGTCTGAGGCTGGATTTGAACTCAGGTCCTCCTGACTTCAGAGCCAGTACTCTGTCCACTGTGCCACCTAGCTATCCCTTTTTTGTCTTTTTAATCTCTGCCTACTGGCTTCCTTTAGGTACCAGCTAAAATCCTGTCTTCTACAAGAGGCGTTTCCAAACTCCTCTTGATTTTAGTACTTTTCCTTTTTTTAGTGTTTCCTGTTCTGTATATTGCTTGTTTGTGCATATTTGTTTAATTTGTTTCCCTCCTTAGATTGTGAGCTCCTTGAGGCAAGTACTGTGTTTTGCCTCTTTTTTATGTCTCAAGCACTTGGTATATTCCCCAGCACATAGTATATGCTTAATAGATGTCTATTGACTGACTGACAGTAGTATTCTGTTGTAGTTTTATACCAGTTTGGATTAGCACCTCTAGTGTAAGGGCCTGCCGAGCCTTTTTCAGGGCTGCTTATCCACGTTTGGTGTCCACTTGATTCACCCAGCTCTTACCTGTGGCTCCAAGAAACTGTAGTATGTATGGCAGCCACATCCCAGTAAAATTGTCTTTACAAACAGACTAAATAAACTAGGTTGAGGATAACTGACATGTCTCGGACCTGTTGGAAGATGTTTACCCCAAGCATATGAAGACTTCCCCTAGTGGAATGGTTGGATGAAAATAATTTGTTCCAAAAGCCATGAAAGTGGCTGAAGCAGGCACTGTGGGCACTTAAAGCTTGGTTGTCCACTGGAGTTGTCTTGACATTTGTCTTGCCACTGATCTTCTATGACTCCAGAAGAGAGAGGCTGATGACTTTGTGCAACTCTGCATCATTTAAATACAATTCATGTGCAAGTCAAGACATCACCCTGTGATGTCATTGGTCCTCTTCAAAAGGAAGGATGAATAGCACCAGTTTATTCAACCATTCCCCAATCAATAGGTATCCCCTGAGTTTCTGGTTCTTTTCTACCACAAAAAGAGCTACAGTAAATATTTTTGTATATATGAGGCCTTTTCTTCTTTCTTGAATCCTGCAAGTGGTATCTCTGGGTCAAAGAGTATTGAGAAGATACATCTTCACAGCCAATGTCACAACATAATCTAAATAGCTATTAACGATAATGCTGATGGCCTAGAAGGAACTTCAGCAGAAATACAGAAGTCTGGAGGAGGGATGGATTTAAGAAGAAAAAGTATGAATTCAGTTTTGTTCATGTCAAATTTGGGGTGCCAGTGGAACATCCAGCTGTAGATACTCTGCAGGCATTTGATGGTATAGGACTGGAGCTCAGGAATAGAGTTTAAATCCAGATACAGTTATTCATTTGTCATATGTCTATCACAAATTACAAAGTCTAAGAGGTTAGAGATTATGTAATAATCTTTGCCTCTCCCCCAGTACCTGTCATAATACATTGCTCATAGTGAGTGCACAATATTGAAATTCTGACTGTTTTTACTAATCAGAATTTTGTTTTCCACATCAGATGCAAGCAGTGTTCTAAATTGAAGACAATGCAGAATCTGAATTCTCTTGTTAAAGAAGCATCGTGGACACCTGTTTGCATTGCCCAAGGTTAGGTAGTATTTCTTAGCCTGTAAATGTAACTTTCAAAGTACAGCAATACTAATAATGCTTGATTAATTAGGACTTCACCATTTGTGATCTTTGGGAATGTGAGTGTAGGTTTCTCTTTGCTCAATGAACTCTTTCTTCATTGTGTTAATCATAGAGAAATCAAGATTGTAGTGGGAATACATAAAGCACTTGAGAATATTTCAAATAATTTCAGTCAATTTATTTTTTGGAAATCTAAGTGTGGGACTTTAAATTTCCTCTTAGACAGTTGTTCCAGATGTTGAGAGCTCTGTGAATACTGATTTTAGTCCTTATATTAACTATCTCTGGCCAACTTTGTGTCTTCTGCAGCCCTGGTACAGACTTTTCACTAATTCACATCAGTCTTCCTAGAACCTAGAAAAATACCTTCTCATTGTCAATGCAATGGGCAAATGAATTTTTTCTTTTAAAATATGATAGTTTTCTTCACCATTTTTCATTTACTTTAAATTTGATTTTTTTTTAGGCTTTTTACAGTCTGCAGAAATACAAAATTTATTAATTCTATAAACATTCATTGTGTGTAATAAATGTCTTCTACTGAATGAATCTCCTATGTCTAAGAACTACATAAAATCTTAATGATAATTTATGGTACTCTTGGCAGTACAGGTTCTGTCATATTTTTTTTCTAATCTTGCCAAATGCCAAAACCCTAGCTTTTGACTTTTTTTTTTGCTCATTTACCAGTCTTAAACTTTTAAACAAATCATTGATGGTCCAATTTGCCTATATGATAACAAAGAAAATGTACAGGTTTTATAGAATAATAGTAGAACAGTTTGTGCAACATTTTAGGTTTGTACTCCTCATGGTATACAGCGAAGGGCAAAGATAATTTGATAGATTTCACAAATAAAAATATCTTAGTACCTTTTAATTAATGGTTCATGTCCAAGCTAATAAATAACAATATTAATACTTAAATGTTTTAAGAATCCATATTTTCATCAGCGTGGGCACTTCCTCTACCAATATAGCTTATAAACCTTCCAGGCATTAGTCTCCATGAGTTTCTGGGGCCAAAAAAATTTAATCCTGATGACCAACCCTACAATGATGTGTCTCTCTGACCGTAACTTTAGTGGTCTGACTAACAAATACTGTTACTGTATTGCAAAGCCCGTACTTGAAGTCTTTCCAATTTGGTCAGACTTTTCAGAATTTGTATTCTGTTGCTGCTGCCTTACAGGATCTAACCAGGTTGCCTAAGTCACCTCAAAGCCAGGAAAAAAGCATTGAAGAAGGCCCTTAGTGGAAAACCGTGTAGCTATTTATACAGAAAACTAGTCAAGTTGCTTGCACAGGATGTCAGGCATCACTACTCAATTGTATGGAGATTATTCCAAGATATAACTAGTTGAAAAGTAAGTTCTGACTTTAAAATAGCATTAAGGAGGCAGGAATAGATGTACTTATTTTTTTATATCAACATACAAATTAGCCTTGATTGTATAATGTCTTTTATTTCATTGTTATTGAACTATTATAGTTAACCTTTGCCTTGTCCTGATACAGTAAATAATGAATACATAAAACTTAACCATATTTTTCCCTCACTAGCACTGGGCATTGTACCACTCCAGTATGTATTTGTTATGACATTTACTCTTGATGATGGAACAGGAACCCTGAAAGTATACCTAATGGACTGTGTAAGTAACAGATCTTGTGAGGTCTTAATCAGAATATGTTTACTAAGATTGGCTATGTTTTCCCCACTTTTCTCTCCCCTTATTTTCCTTATCATTCACTTCCTGACTCCGTCCTCTCTGATTGTGGTTTCCTTGGGGGCTGAATCTCAAAGCATCTCAGCTTCATCCCACACCGAGCAATTCACAGTTCACCATCTAGATCTCTGCCTCAAGTGACTTTTGGATGGTCAAAATTGGCCCCAACTGGGTACTGTCCTGCCTTCTTCGGGCTTGGTGGAGTGCTACACAGCCACCCACATGGCTGAGTCATTGGGAGTTTCTGATTTGTTGTTTGTTTTTTTTTAATTGTTTGGATTCTAGAAGAACTAGACCATGGATACTGGTAAAGTTACTTTATCCTTGCCACATAATTTCTTGTTTTGAAGAGGTTTTGCAAGGTTGTAGGAGTTGGAGAAAATGTCTAATCTGCCATCTTGTTCATGTGATCTGGAAAAGCCTCTTTTTCTCGTTCTTATATAAAATTAATAAGCTTGAAAGCGTTAGTTGATGTAAATGTGTGAATGTCAGCTGTTAGTGAAAATGTTACAGAAAGAGGGAAAGGGTGGAAAATATGGGGGATGACCATCACTTCTCTTACCACTACATAGGATATAAGTGTTCCTGTATAGAACAGTTTACCCCAACTATAAGTGAAGAACCTGGCTGCAGAATGGTCATAATCTACTATACATTCACTGTAGCTGGCATTTCACTTACCTTATTAGAGTATAAGAAGAGTCTTTTAGATTTGGTGTCTGAGACTGCATGGAGACTTGAGTGCAAGGTCCATCTTTGTCACATACTGGCTTTATTACCCTGGGCAAGTCACTTAAACTTTTTTTTTTGGTGAGACAATCAGAGTTAAGTGACTTACCCAGTGTCACACAGCTAGTAAGTATCAAGTGTCTGAACTCGGATTTGTACTCAGGTCCTCCTGACTCCAAGGCTGGAGCTCTATCCACTGCGCCACCTAGCTGCCCCCACTTAAACTTTTAATGACCCAGACAATTGTCTAATTCTGTAAATTGCAGAATGGGAGCTCACCTCCATTGGTAGAGGGAGTCTCATCACTGGGTCCTCCTTACACAATAAATTTTAGATTCAATTGATAAAAATTAGAGAGTAAGATGCCACATTACTAGTTACTTGAGTTTAGGAGTACCGGGAGAGAATTCTGGAGGAGAATAAAGGGAAAGCTCTCTTTTTCTAATACTACAACAACAACCATGATAATGTAATAATACAGTTTATAATATCATTCTAATAATTGTTGAATCTTTCTTATACAAAAGTTCTTATATAAACAAGACTTGAAGACATTAAAATTTTCCAATTGAGGTGAATGTTTCTGAATCCCAGAAAGAATGTGTAAAGAAATTCAGATATCTTGTGATTGTTACAAGTTTAATAGTCATATCTTAAAGTAGTAAGTCAGGGTTTGAATTTATCCTGTCATTAATTTTAAATGTATAGATTATTTTTCTAAATGATATGCCCTAAAGTGCTTCAGGCAATTTGAAAATGTTAAAATGTCTGCATTAACTACAGAAGGTGAATGTAGAATGAGTGTTTCCTCATGTTCTGGTATAAACCTTTCTTATCTTTCTTCAGGAAAATTTTTTTCAAATTCCTGCCTCAGAGATTCTAAACAGTGATGACCTTCAGAAAAATATGGAAATGATCATGTATATGCTTTGTCCGCCAGGAAAAAAAATTGGTAGGCAATCGTATTTTCAGAATTTCACCTTATCTTTTCAAAATGGTGCTATCTTATTTATAACCTATGGCTGGAGATAAAATGTACAAAATCTTAACTCATATACTTTTCCTTATTTTTATAAAGTTGTATATTTTATAAAACTGTGTTGTTGTAATGTATAATCAGTTATTAATTTGAGGGGTTTTAACAGTCCCTCTCCAAAATACACCTATCTTAACTCTAAATTTAATTTGAGTTAACAGTGCCCTCCAAAAGTATTGGACTTCCAAGTTCAACTGAACAAACAGTTACCAAGCACCTCCTGTGTACAAGGCACCATCTCAATTGCTAGGGCTGCAGAGACAGAATATGAACCCATCCCTCTCTTTAGTGGCTTTGCTCTCAAGGTGTAAAAGAAAGATTTTCTCCAAGTAGAGAAAACTGAAGGTCTGCCACTTGAGCAGGACTCAAGTTTTGTGTTCATTTTCTTTCCTGAAGACCCATTTAAAATAAAAAGTACAGCTCTGATATTTATATCAGTCAATCAGCAAACACTAATTACTGGCTCTTGTGTTCCAAGTGCTGTGTTAGGCCCTAGATATACAAAAACCCTGCTCTCAGAGCTTACGTTCTATCAGGAGAATGAATCTATCATATGGGGGAGAAAACCATTCTTTATAAATTCTTTTTATTATAACTTTAAACAAATAACCCTTAAGTTTTTGTGAAAGGATCATAGTATGATTTTGTGCATGAAATGGTGGACTTTGAGCCAGGAATACCTGGGTTCAAATCCTACTTCAGATATTTACTAGCTGAGTGACCCTGGGCAAATCACTTAACCTCTCTGGGCCTCAGTTTCCTCATCTGTAAAGTGAAGCAGTTGAACTCGATGTCCTTTAAGGTTCCTTCCAGCTCTAAGCTTATGATCATCCACAAATGGCATTGAATACAAACTTATTGTCAGTTATCACACATCTTCATCATCCTTTTGCAGCTATCTATGGATCAAAAGTTAGTAGTTTATAAATTTTTTGAAACCATGGAAGAGATATTTTTAAGAGAAAAAAAGATAGCCTTTAAATACAAGTGTCACATAAGATTTATCAATTAAGAAGCCATTCAAGGTGTTTCACAGCACAATGTATAGAAATCTTCAAATTTCATGTCCAGAAAGGTCGATTATTTATGCTTAGGCAAGTCGTTCTATTATCCTCCTGTAATCTGAAACAAGTTGCTGGAAGCTTTCCTCTAACTGTTCATGTTGCATGCTTATGTCTTTTTGATTCATCAGGTTTGTCAGCTCTGCAGGCCTGAGACATCTTCTCATTTTGGCAAGATCTCTGCTTTTTCTTATATGGACCAATTAATCTCCCTTTTGTGTCCAGTCTATAACCTCTGGTTTGTTCAGCATCACTCATGTCAGTCACACGTAATCAGAGAATTTCTTAAGCTTGAGTAGCATATTGCTTATTTATTTTGAGCTTCTGTTGTGCCTCTGTCACCATATCTTTACTAAATCCTTGTGTTAACTTGTCTGGTGAAAAGCAAGACAGATCTTGGCAAAGCTTCACAAGTATAAAATCTCTTAGTTTCACATAGTTTTCAGATGGATCTTCAGCTGTAATATCTAGAACTATTGGAGAAGAATTGTAATGTCTATGAACTGTTTCAAAAAATTGGGCCCCATGGCCTTCACCTTGAAAGGGAGGCAGTATCAACATCTGCCTTATACATGGCCAGGTTTTGTCTGGGTACACATAGTAATTATTGACTATCGTGTAGCCTATAGTTGCAAAAAGCGTAGCTCCATCTTTAATCTCAAGTACTAGAAAGCAGTTCCATCTTTCATCATCCACATCAATAAAGCTAGCAGTTTCAATAAATCACATCAAAAAAGACTGAAGCCTTTCATGATATTCTCGAAAGCCTGTATGTGTCATGTCAGCTTTGTGTATTTTGTAGGTAATGTTTTCTTCTGCTTCCTTATTGTGAACTGAGTACATATGGAGTAATGTTCCAAAGGTCTTTAAATTAGCTTCCTTTTCCAACAATGAAATAAGATCATGTGTGTTTGTACAAAATCCTGGAGGAATGATTTCTCTAATTTTGCTCTAAACATCATCTGCCTCTACACAGTTGAAATTCTCACTAACTTTAGACCATACTCAATTCAGAACAGTGTTGTTAAGTTACCAGCATTTTACCAGCATTATGGTACAAAATAATCTTAAGACCCTTGTAACTGAAGACAGTTTTATCATCACCAAATATTTGATGGCTGTTCTCTGGAATAAAAGTTGTGCTGTCATTGTCAAGATCTTCAGCAAAGCGTACTAATTTAAATTGAATTGCTTCGTTGGTGTTATGCTTGTACTCTGCCAGCTTCTTTTCCATAGCACTCTTGTATTCCACTAAAAATTTTTCCGCTGCACCAAATCCCTCCATTTTCGTGCAGCAGGCTGAAGTGGCCAAGGAGAACAAATGGAAGAGATATTTCATAGGGAACACAAGGCAGTTACTGAATTGCATCTTGAAAGCTATAATGTATATAAAATGCTTTTCAAACTTTTAAGTGATATACAAATGTGAGTAAAAATAGTAGTTCTACATGGAGGAATGGAGCCCAATTTATCTCCAGTAAAACATAAATTTGGGTTATGTATGCTAGTTGTTAAATAATCAATAAGCACTGTGCCAGTCATGGTTCCCAAGATTCTTTCAAACTTGATGTTTAAAAGTACTTAACGACTTTCCTGTAAATTGTGTAAGTTCATTTTGCAGGATCATAGATTTAGAGCTGCAAAAAACCTTCGAGGTTATCAAGTCTAAACTCTTCATTTGAGGAAATTGAGTCCCAGAAATAAAGTGCGTTACCCAGAGTCACATAGCTAGTAAGTATCTGAGGCAGGATATGAACCCAGCCCTTTCAGACTCCAAATTCAATACTTCCTTACAGTCTCTCAAAGCAAAGTAAGTCAAATGTAGTGGTGGGGATGACAATGTTAATGAAGTAACAGTAACACACAGCTCTCGAGCCAACTTTACTTACAACCAGAACTTGAAAATAATCTTCACCAGCTGTTGGCATCTGAAAATTTCATTGTTATTTATGGGAATTATCTGGATTGTTTTTCAAATGTGCCTGACTCAGGTATACCATCATGCACCACTATACTGACTTCACTCATCTACTAGATCCAGGCAAAGGGAGACTTTCATTTAGATTGACCTGAGGAGAAGCATCCATTGGCAGTCCAAATGATAGCTATAATGGAGCTATGAGAACAGCAATACAATAGTGTTGATTAGGAATCATTCAACAAGTGGCCTGGTATGTGCTAGGTATTGGGGATACAAGTACAAAAGTAAAACTCTCCGCCCTTGAGGAACTTATATTCTGAAAGTAGTGATAAAAGTGATAGAATATACTAGTTGAAGATGTAAAAAGTTAATTTCTGGCAGTTAGCTCTGGGTAATGGCTACTATATCTGCCTATATATTTTGATTTTTTGTTCTTAGTTTTAATGGTAAATTATTTTTTTTATAGGAGAATACCCCTGGTTGGAATGCTTTATCAAGTCTTATAATGTCAGAAATGAAGTGGAACAGGAAATTTGCTATCGGATTTTTGATACTGTGGTTGCAGAAGATTTAATCTAATGTTTAAGTATATATGTAATATAAATGTATAATAATGTAATATGCCTCTGATATATAACTAACTTCATATAATTATAATAAAATATTCTAAAATATTTAGTGACTTTCTGAGGTTTTTATTGACATCTTTTATTTTTACATTAACATCATTTCTAAACATATCGCTTTACAGAGAGAAAACAAGTTAGTAAAACTAACCTATGCATCAGCCAAGTCTGATAGTATCTGCAGGGTTCCACATCCATGGTCTCTCACCTCTACACAGAAGGAAGGGGAGGCTTATTTTCTCCTTTGCAGAGAGCTTGATCATTATAATTACATAGTGGTCCATTTGTCCAGTTTGTGTTGATGTTGGGTGGTTGTTTTTTTCTTCCATTTTCATTGATGGAGTGTACATATTGTTTTCCTGGCTCTACATACTTTGCATTAATTCATACAAAACTTCCCATGGGTCTCTTCATTCTTTGTATTCAGTTTCAGCACAGCAATATTCTTTTACATTCACATACCACAGTTAGTTCAGCCATTCCTCAATGATAGGATCATAAGAAAATGAGCAGGAGGGCTTTAAAGGTCATTGAGTCAAACCTCCTCATTTTATAGAGTTTAAGTGACTTTCCTAGGGTCACACAGCTAGTAAGTGTCTGAGGCAGAATGCAAACCCAGATCTTTTTGCCTCAAAGTACAGCATTCTGTCTGTGCTGCCACATTATTATGAAAAGTGTTGTTATAAATATTTTGGTGTGTATGAGACCGTTATTTCTTTCCTTGATCCGACTATTACTGGGGTCCCTGGGTCAAAAATGTAAGGAATTTCTAATTAGTATTTTTTACAAGATATTTCACATTTTCATTTTAACTGCTACTGTTTTTAAATTGTTTTCTATTATAGTAACAGTTTACATATCATACCTTGCCTGTGAGTCTGACTGTTAAAATGGGTTTATTCCTTAAAAATGCAAACCAACCTGTCAAAATTGAGGACATTTTGAAGCTTCCTAACACTAATTCTGAAAGATGCTGAATAAGAAAATTTAAGGAGTGCATTTTCATTTTATCTTTGTCATACCTTCAGATAAGCTATTTGAGGCATGGGCTAAAAAAGAATAATTTGGTGATTGCTCTTTCCATTTATCTGTCATTGATTTTCTCTTTTTTCTCATAAAACTCCACCAAGTTTTGCTTCATTACTTGCTTTAATTTCTATATCAACATTGTCAATGACTTTAGCTGTGAGAATAGAAAATTTGATTAACTCAAGTTCCTTTGAATGGTAAGGTGTAAGCTCAGTATAGTAAATTATGATTTCTTTGTAGAGGAATAACTAAATAAAAGAATTTCTGCTTAGAAAACATGCTACTTTAAATGAACTATTCCCAAACATAATTCTCAGAGTTGCATTTTAGGAAAGAATTCTATAGTTTTCTCTGCACTGATGGTTGCTGGTTTTAAGGTAAATTCCCTGTTTAGATCAGAATAATCTTCCTTGAACTCCCTTTTTTCTCCTTATGGTATTTTAAGAGAACATGTTGATTATGTAATTTCTTTGAAAATATTATAGAGTAAATTAGTTTGGAAACAATTCATGTCTGCTTTTCTCTCTTCGATAGTCTTATTTAATGATAAATTAATTCAGTAATGATAAATTAATTCACTTTCCAGGGAAATCAACCATTAGGCGTATCCTTCCCAAGATGGAAAATTGTATGAAATTTTACCTTCTATTTCACAGTATCTTTCAAAATTAGAATCATAAATGTTCATCATATACTGAAATATACATTTATCTATGTTTCTTACAACTAAAGACTAAAATGTGATTATTATTGACATTTTGCTAATGTTTACTACAGCCAGGGATGCCTATTAATATTGAATTATAAGTGGCAGCAGCTAGGTGGCGCAGTGGATAGAGCACTGGCCCTGAAGTCAGGAGGACCTGAGTTCAAATCAAGACTCAGACATATAACATTCACTAGCTGTGTGACTCTGGGCAAATCACTTAACCCCGATTGCCTCACCAAAATAAATAAATAACTGAATAAAATGTTGAATATAAGGAAAGAGCAATAAATGCACGTGTGATTTTGGTGACTTTCACACAGTAAAGAGAATAAGGGCAAGAAAAACATAAAGAAATGATCTTGGAGTTTACTTTGTTTCAGGGTGGGCAGCATATGAATACTGAGTAATTGCTTTTCCTGCCTTGGTTAAAAAGAGCTGGTAAACACCCTGTCAGCAAAAAGATTGATAGTAACTGACTCTACCTTTACAAACTCCACTCTGACACCACACTTGAGGAATTGCCTCATCATCTTATCTGGTAGTTTTTATGTGCTGTGGTGAGCCTTGGCCAGTGGCCACAGTCTCATGTCATGGTTTAAGTTAAATTAACCTGTTGTGACACGTAAAAGATTAGACCTGAAGATGTGGAAGGAAGGGTGAGGCTAGGTCTAGAACTTAAGGCTAGGCATGCTTTCAGTAAGATTCCTTAGAATAGTGCCTTAGACTTGGTTGTTGTTTGTCCTTCGTTTTCAAAGAAGACTGATGACATCACAAGGTGATACCTTGACTTGCTCATGAATTGGATTTAAGTGAGGCAGAATTGTACGAAGTCACCAGCCTCACTCTTCCTGAGTCTCTGAGTAGTAAGACAAAGTCAAAACAATGGTTCAGGATGCAATGGATGACCTTGGCATCTTTGACCACGCTCTAAGCAGTCCACAGCACCTGCTTCAGCCACCCTTGTGGCCTGGGGAAGTCTTCACATGCTTAGGGTAAACATCCCTCTAGCCAGCTAACTCACTGATGGGTTTGAGGCCTGTCAGTTACCCTTGGCCTGGTTTAGCCCATCTGCTGAGATGGTTTCACTGGGATGTGGCTGCTGTGCGTACTACAGCTTTCTGGAGCCACAGGTGAGAGTTGAATGAGGCGGATGGGCAACCCTGAAAAGGGCTCAGCAAGACCTCACAGCAGGTGCTAGTCCTGCTGAGTACCCCATAAGCCCCTATTAGAGGATTCAATATTTAGAAGCACAAGCATGACTTTTCAGTACACTGTACTTTGCCTTCTGCATCTATGTAATACCAGCTAACATGGTTTACAAAACATTTAACATATAGTTTGTTCAGCCCTTACAACACTGCAAAAGTAGGTGCTATTATTAACCACATTTTACAGCTGAGGAAATAGTTTCAGAGAGACTAAGTGACGTAGTAGAGGACTAAATAAAAGTGACCCCTTCAATAGAAAATAACTGTCAGATAAAGTTGTTGATGACATTTTAAGCAAGGAAATACAGAAAGATGAAAATCTATATAACTGTACCTCTGAGGTCTAAATCTCCATTTTTGGATAAATCTTAGAATCATAAATTGTAGGATCACAGATTTAGAGCCAGAAAGGATCTTAGAGGTTGTCTGCTCTGCCTCATTTTGAGGAAACTGAGGCCCAGGGAGTTTCTCTTATCAAAGGTAAGGTTTGACAGGTCCTAAATGTCAAGAGCTAAGCTTCAAACCCAAACCCTCTAACTCATTATCCCTTTTTGTTCTTCCAAAGATACCTTTGAAAAAGAATTCTATATGGTTGAACTGTAATTGTGAGTATAGAAAGTTGCATTCATTTACACAAGTAAAAGATATAGCAAAAACTTTTAGAATATGGAAAATGATTCTTTTTGTATTTTTTCTTTCTCTCTCAAGGTATTGGATAGGGTAGTTGGCAATAACGGGGCCCCAGTTCAAAACAGGTGAACTCAACTAGTGCAAAGGTCAGAAAAAACTAAAATTCTTTGTTCCAAGCAGGGAGATGCCCAACACACTTCTTCAATCAATAGCAAGCCATAAATAACAGCAGACAATCAGGTACTGTTTATAATTAGAGACACAATTTTTCCCACTGCCTCCTCATGGCATGGAGGTGACCCAGGGCTCACAAAGAAGAGGGTCAGCTTCAGCATAGTCAACCTGAAATCAATTAAACTCACAATCTTTCCTGTTTTGGAAAGATAATTCCTTTCCATTTTTGAAATTCAGGATGTTTGCCTTTTTTTTTTAATGCAGTACTTTTCAGATTATATTCTTTCAGAGATCACTGATAGCTTAGCAATCAAATCAGTGAGTTTTTTCAATGCTCTAGGATGTAGTTTGTCAAGTTTTGATAACTTGAGCTAATTAAGGGAAATGTCTGAACTCCATCCTTTATACCTCTGAGATTAGCTAGCAGAATTCATTACACCACGTTGCATCTCCATGTGACTGTAGGTGTCCCACAGGGTTCTGTCTTGGGCCCTCATCTCATCAGCTCCCATGGATTTCACTACCATCTCTATGCTGATGATTCTCAAATCTATCTTTCCTTCCTCATTCCACTTGCTACCACCATTTCCCACCTACTTACTAGCTGCTCCATCCATTACATGCCTGGCTCCATCCTTCATTAATTTACCTCTCATGTTCCCAACCCGAACTATCACAGCCTACAGTAGCACCTGGGTCATGGAATGGTAGGCACCAATATCTTAACTAGCATCCTTTGTTCCCAGTAAGACTAAAGCTGGAGATATTTGTTTTAATTCATATCATTTCAGAACTCTGTGGAAGTTTGGGATACTTTTGGCTGCATCAATCTTTCCCCCATTCTCTCTGACCTGGAGCAAGTCTATTTGATTCTATGTAGAAGTAGCTAGATGACAAGTGGATAGAGTTCTGGGCTTGAAGTCAGGAGGACTTGAATTTAAATACAGTGTAAAGCACCTACCAGCTTCGCGACCCTAGGTAAGTAATTTATCCTCTGTCTGCCTTAGTTTTTTCTAATGTAGAATGGGCATAATAACAGCACCAATCTCCCAAGGTTGCTGTGATGATCAAGTGAGACGAAATTTGTAAAGTGCTTAGCACAGTGCTTGGCACATAGTAGGGACTTAGCAAATGCTGTTTCCTTCCTATTCAAGTCACTTTAAAAGCAACCATCATCAAATGGCTACTTAAATAGCCTTGGGCTCAGTCATCACGGTTTCTTCCTTAACCTCCTTTAAAGAGCTCATGGTGGGAGAGGGATTGAGGT